GCGTAATTTGATGAATGACTGTCTTATCCTATGCCGGCACCAAGCTCCGATCGATGACTCTCTCTCTTCTGCTTTATACAGCCTGTTTTCGGTTCTATGCACCACTTTCACGATATTTATTTTTATTTAAAAGACAAGCTATTTTCACTCGCTGATCGTTAAGAAACCTTTCATTTGTATTATTCTACATCAATATTAAAGTTAAAATTGAGAAGGCAATCTTCGTAGATTTGAATGAAATGAACACGTACCTTTCGCTACGAAAGTCGAGCGTTCACCAGACGAGATTTTCGATGGATACAGATGGACGATGAACGGAGTACCGTGGCAAATTGTTCGTATTTATCGCTCGGGCTACGTTACTTGCTTATGAGCACATCGAGCCGTAAATTCGCGTGTTTATCCCGAAAAGCAAAGAGATAGCAGATAATGGACCGGAAAGGATTGCCGACTCGGTAAATTTGTCTAGACGAAGGAGTGCGTCAACACCAGAGTAGCAATTATTGAACTTCGAGTGAAACAGAAGATTTACTATTTGATATTCACCGACCAGTATAACTATTAACTGAATGATCAACTACCTCACCTTTTATCAAATGGTATCTGGCCACAAGAGTATCCAGAATTATCTGAACGAAAGTAAAACGTAAAAATGTACGCGTACCTTAATTTTTCTTCGTATCGCGCCAAAATAGGCTGTTTGCGTTTCGTTTTATGAGCTCGATTCGCGGATTTTACGAATTCTCGAGAATAAGAAGCAGCGAATCTCGGTATCTTATTTTTAGAAATGAAGAATAACAGGACAACAGCTGCGCCAAGCGCAGTGTAGTTTCAATATTCCATCGAAGGAAGATGAATTATCACATTACTGTCAAATCAAACGTGAATCACGTAAGACTTTCGTAAAAAATGCGGTGCTAAAGTATTAATGAAACATCGAGCAACAGGCAATCGTACGGATAAACTTTCCAATCTAGAACATTCGGTTGTTGATTTATTATAGGATAAAGGCATCTATCGATGTCCTTTGTTATTGCAAAATTATCACATAGAGAAATTTTAGAGGATTCAGTGACGCAGGTGATAATTAATTCTATTCGTAAATGAATATAAGGAATTTGAAACTTCGTTATGAAAGAAATTAGAGTCCTCGTTCATCGTAATACCTATTTAACAAAAAAAAATCAATGGAGGTTAAAATATCTTCTTTTCGTAGCATTGTTATTTATACAACAATGGGAACTAGTTTGAAAAAGCGATAAATTAATGTAATCTGTTCTAAACAATAACCATCTGAACGTCTATAAATAAAAATGTATGCATAATGTATGTGTAATTACTGAGGATGAATAATGAACGAAGTCATTTAGGAAACCACTTATACCAAGTAGCATGAATTCTTTTTAACAATGTAATATTCTTAATGCACTTCTTTACCTTGTACAATGTACATAAATGATTTAACATTTTAATAACTTAGCATATTTGTTGTTCACGGCAGCTTTGTGCGAACAAACAAACAAAATATATATAAATAAACAGAAAACGTGAATAAACAATAAGCAGAAAATGTCTGGATTTTAACTTTGTTACAAGCAGAAATGAACTTCAATGGAACGCGTTAATAGTTCGGTTACTTGTAAAGCAACCATTTTGATCCTACAAAGAACAAACGTAGTTCATTAAGTCACGAGCCACAACCGCTCGTAATTTTCTCAAGACATTTTTATACCTCTCCGTGAAAATTATTTCCCTGCTTTGCGTAATTCCCTCTCCGTTTTGTTCCTCTATGGACCGGTGACTATTGTCCGATTTTTCGTTAGTATAAAAGGAACGTTCCGTTCTTACGAAATTCATTGTCGGAATAATTAGATAATTCGCCCATTAGGAAACCTCGTGGCCTTTGGAACATAGAAATTGGCTTAATACCATGTATTTAACACTAAATTTGAACGATGTTATGTGCAATGCTAGAAAAACGGAAAAAAAGAAACAGATATATGCTTTAAATCACTAGAAATAATACAGTTTCTTTATTATTCTTCTAAAGAGAATAATCTGCCATAATTTAAACACGTATTTTTCTTCTTGAAAATCGAAGTTCGCGAATAATTGTAACATTCTTCTTATCAAGTATCAAGTTACTAAAGAATGATCGATTATAATTTAGACGAGATAAAAAACCACTTATTCCGTTTCAATGTCAAAAATAATTACGCTTATTAAAATAAATAGCCTTCATTGATTTTTTAACATAACACGAGCAATTTTTCCAATAAAAATATCGAAAATTCAAGGTTCGCGGTAGATTCGCAGAAGATTAGTCCATCGGGTCAGGAGAGGTCTTGACAACTGTCACCACGGATGTCCCATGGGTTCACGACCCCATGCCGGCATATTAGAGCACTGAATTAGTTAATGCCAGTCACATGGCCGAGCAACGAGAATTACCTTCTCGTGATGCTTCAACAGTGCATACGATTGCATTTTGGACAAGATCGTTTGTCCAATCATCGTCCCTTCCTTCCTGTTTAGCTGGCCCTTGTTTGACGAATCATACTTGTTTACATAGTCAATCCCTTGCGATAATCTTTAACTCGGAGGATTTTCAACGTCATTTGCTTCACGAACGCCAATGATCAGGTTTTTAAAAAGAAGAAGAGAAATCGAACGCAATGATTTTCTCGACTTTAGAAAATAAGTTCCAGGACAGAATGCATATACGTTTATGCGGGTAGCACGATCGAATATAGGTAACACCGCTTAGTCTAATAGGATAAGTCTAATTAACAATTCCTTGTATTAGGAGTTATACAGGCTAGGACAGTGAGAAAGATTAAACAGCCAGCCTGGCATGTATCCGTATTTCTATTTGCCGAGAAAAAAGGTATCGCCGGCATATGACTCACCTATACCAGATTTATGACTTTTATCTCGTATTTTCTCCTACTTGTATAATCATACCTCGTGAGCGATGTTTTTTCACACGATTATTGACGTCCAAGGAAAAAAAACCCTTCGTGCATTCGCAAGCGTTATCGTGAAAAATGAATAAGATAACTCGAACACGCTTTTGCGGCCTGCTTGATAACGGTAGCAATAAACAAAGCGTGTCGATAACTTTTGAACCCTTTCTACGTTCAACTGTCGCGTCTTCAGCGTGCAAAACACGTTCCATTTCTTTTCATTATTATCGATGCCAAAGAATAAACCGCTCCCTCGGGCCACGCTAATCTCGGTTTAATGATCTTTCTCCCTCTTCGATTTGACAATGATCTTGATCCAAGGTACGCGTGAGGATAGCAAAATATGTACATAGAAAGTGCACTTTACGAACGCGCGCAATGATGAAATTTCTATTCGACATTTCTATGCGAAACCTGAACGTGACGCGCATAAATGATCAATTGACAGGATGGAATACAAATTTCCACGATTATCTCTGGTTAAGGAAATTTTGTCTGTCCGACTGAAGGAATCATTGAAATCAATTCAGTTCATTGTAAAATTACGAAAGTAACTGCGAATGAAAATAAGACGCTTATCTTATAGCGAAAAGAGAAAGTATACGTATTATCTAAAAAATGATAGATCAAATGATACGCTTTTCATCAGCGATAATCAGGCCACTGAGACTTCTGTAAAACTTATCGCCGACAAATGAATTACACTCGTACGTTCCTCTTTTTAATAACAAACCGATGATAACATGGAATCGGAACAGACTCACAGTCTGCGAGTCTTCCCGATAACCCTGTTTACTCCATCGAGAAACAGAGAGAATCGTTGATCGACCATTTACGAGTTCTTATTTTTTAATGACGAATAATTACCGCGTTGGAAAAATTGTCAGTCAAATTGGTCCGAGTTGTCTAGAAGAAAAACAAAACGTGCAAATGGCGTTAAACCAATAAGCAGATATTACATAGAAACTTGAAGTTAATTAAATTTCCTTTATTCAGATTGGTCAAGTGACAAAGTGGATACCCGATGGAAAATAAGAGGAAAAGAAGTGAAATGTAAATCGTAATCGTAAACATAGTTACAAATAAAATTGACTTAAATTAGACAATTTACATTAGATTGCCTATATCGTTGAGAGGACCTCAACTTCGTTTTGGAGCTTGAAAACGCATATTTCAAATGAAGTAAAATAGCAGGTTTCTATTAATAAAGCGTGCTCAGAGTACGTACTCAAAGTGAAGTGAATCAATCGACAACGACAAGCGTATAAACTTGAAAAACTATCATCATTGGTAAGTAAGTTTTATGTTCAACTCAAGTTGCTCGAACCAGGTAGCTGCGCTAATCTGAGCGAAGCGTTAATCGTAAACGCCTTGAGTATCCGTGTCAGCTACATCGATCAGATCAAACTTAATTATCTCTGATAAAAAATAACAAAGTTAATCTTGGTGGTATCAGGTCCGTCCTTGCGAAATAATTACACAGCCAAGTGTCACTAGTCACGAGACTTTACAACTGTGTAATAACGAATGCTCGCTAAAACTGCGATAGAAGATCGAATTTCTATGATCGCGCTTCTACGACTACGCAAATGCACGTGATTCTCAGATTTCTTACTCTTCGCGCCATCATTATCAGATCTCGACGATGCAAATAATCTTACGATTCTCCGAGCATCGATCGATCGTTTCTATCTTTTCTGTCCTGATTATGCAAATGCCTCATTTGTCGTGCACCGGTGAATCGATGTCGATAATCGCGCGTTTCGATCAGTAATGAGTACAATCGAGATCCCGCGAGCAAGTCCAAGGCCGTCATTATCATCATCGACCAACGATCAGACCGCAACGACGGTTATGTCATCGCGGGCATCGTTTCCATCAAATCGACGAAACGGACACGCAAGCTCATCTCGTGTAAACATTGTACGAAAAAGAACGTGTTATTAGCCGGTGCTTCGACCCGTTGCACCGATATTAGGGTGATGAATAATTACGTTGCGGAGATATAGCGTAGGTAAACAGCTAGTAAACAGACAACTAAAAACATCGATGATCGTGTATATTCGTGTAGCTTCTTTTATAAGTATAAAAGCCGTGTTTACAATATCGTATAAAATATGAGGAATTGCATTTCCTTGAGCTTTGTATATTACATGCGTATGTTAGAAAAATTTGAGTAGATTGCTGTTAGAACATTCATAGATCTTGCGTGGAAAAGCATCATTGAAGAGTATTTTGTTGGTTAGAGACTTTTCTCCAAACGTAGAGTGTACACAATATAATAATGTGTAGTAAACATATTAATGCATTGTATGATATGTACTATAGATCGCAGTCGCAATGTAATTATCAGATCTATTGCTAATATCAATATACACATAGCAACAACAATACGAAATAATGATCTAAAAGTTAATAGATATAAATACATCAAAAAGGTTCAACCTCAATAAGTAATTTCTTAAGAACCATCAGGTACCTACCAGGTACTAAACAAAACTAATTTCCTGATTAACCATTCTTGGGAATGAGTTTCAGAGGCTCGACTCCCATAACTTTCGCGAACTCTTTACACGCCTGTATCTGATTGGGATGATACGTAATACCACCCTCTTTATCCACGCGTTCCATGGCTGCCCTCTCCAGGTCTCCAGGTATCAAAACAGGTTTGTCTTCGGCGGGAGCCAAATTTCTCAACTGTTTCAACAACTGACCTAATCTCTCCTTCGATCCACAACCAAAAGCTTCCGGATTTATGGCCATGAAACACTGCCCAAGATTAGCAATTTTTTCTTTGGTCTTCCACTGTCTGATATTAGGACCAAACTCGCTTCCAGACAGAATTCCGCAAAGTACCTCGACCATCAAAGCTAGTCCATAGCCTTTGTAGCCGCTAGTGTGTTCCTCTCCACCAACAGGTAATAAAAGAGAAGTTTTGTACGCTTCTTCGGCGTTTGTGGTAACCTTCCCATCGGACCCAAGCGCCCAGCCTGAGGGAATGGCTTCGTTCTTCCTGATAGCTAGCTCGATTTTGCCCAGAGCAACGGCTGTCGTGGCCATATCCAACACGAACTCATCGTTGTTCGACGCTCCCATTCCCAAAGATATCGGATTCGTGCCTAAACCCGCACACTTGCTACGGGTCGGTGCCATCAGAGGACTCGTATTGGTGCAGGAGAAGCCCACGAGACCTTGGTCGATCGCCATTTTAGTGTAGTAACCACAGATGCCATAATGATTCGACCCACAAGTCGACACCATCCCGATACCGAACTTCTTCGCCTTCTTTATCACCAGTTCCATGCAAAATTTACCGATCACCTGGCCCAAACCGTTGTTCCCGTTGACCAACGCTATCGCCTGGAAATAGTTCCATCGAACTTTGCGGTGAAGTCACGTCTTGGCTTCTTAAATGAAACAGCGCGAAATTTTGAAATAAGAACGCAAAGCAAGCGCCGGTTTACTCGACGTCGTTTCAATGGATTTCGACCCTCTCAAAGACCAAAGTGATCGATCTTTTCAATTTCTCTATTGGGTTGACAACTAAGTGATTGCGGATTTTGTCATTGGGTGGTAATGATTTCACTTACATTTAGATAACAGGATTCTTCCTGATTTCGTAACTTCCACGAATATAACGATGCTTCTGATCGTTCGCAGAAATCATGCAACAGTCCAAATCAATTTTGGTCGGTTCGATCCTCCCTCTTTCAGTACATTCAACAAGACGATTCACGGATTATTTACAAAATAGCGAGAAGAGCGGAGACAATCAACTTAGCGAAATTTCTTCCCATGCAAACGAGCGTGTCGACCTCGTCTACGAGGACGGGGGAAAATTTTCAATCGTTCCGTTTCGTCGGCGCGGCGAAGCCATTTACTCGGACCAGTCCCCCTTTTTCTATCTTCGACATGCTCGTCCCTACTTAACGCTTATTCCACAACAACCCCCGGCGACGACTCATCCTGTATCATCCCCTTATTCAACGCGTGGGTTGACAACTAAGTGATTGCGGATTGTGTCATTAGGTGGTAATGACAGAATCCGCAATCACTTAGTTGCCAACCCAATATTTTTATTAGGTAGATGATATAATTAATATTCGATACTCAGTCAGCAAACAAGTAATTTACTTCCATAAATTTGTTTACCACGAGAAACTGGCATGAGTAACAAAATGTATTTAAAAAATATTTGTAATATCATTTTTCCTTCAATTTATAAAGTCGAACAGTGTAGTTTCTAGGAAGTTCGTTTATAGAGTCTAAGAATGTTGTCGAGGTGAAAAGATCTCGTATCTATTCAAATGGAATTAAGGAATTCTAATACCCACGAGATAAGAGTACGTAAGGAGTTATCTGCTTTGTTTTCTAACGAGATCTTTATTGTAATAGGATAGAGTTTGGTTCTGTGTCGTGTGTTCGCTGAAGTTGTTTGCTTAGAAGGCTTTAAGCAATGGTGTGCAAATCGGAAATTACATTTTTAATTATCGTCAGCAGCAACGTGTACACATATGTTCGTAACGTTGCATAAAATGCTCTCTGTCATATTTTTACACGGGAAATGTAAAGTTTCCACTGGTAACGACTGACAAGTAAACCGGTAAAAGCCGGATTTTCAATCATACGTGCGTTTGGTATCGTAAATTTGAGTATTTCCAGCAGCGAGACTATGCTTTGGCTATGCGAAGATTCTTCAATTATAATCGTATACATTTATTTTTGCTTTTAAAGAGAAATGACGTAATTGAAACCGCTGAGAGGACGCAAGATGAATTGAATAAATCATTTCCAGGTATTGTTAACATATGAATGACAACCGTGTATAATAATAATAATTCCTCGAAATTATCCAGTCTCCGCATCTTCGTTAGAATTTTAATGATGCGTAATGGAACGTATCCGTGCACTGTAATCTCACTGACGTACGTTCACCTCGTGACAACTGTGTATCCAGTTGATTAAACGAACAATTAAACCGCGTCACGTTTAATCTCAGTGAATCTTAAGACTAATCACGATGTAAAAGAACCAAGGTGTGGGAGTTCCGACGCTGTTTTCGCAGCTTCGATTATCACGCTTAACGTTGCCATACTTGACATCTTCGCATCTAACATTGAGGCTTTCGGAAGAGAGACGCAACTGGAAAACATTCTTTTGCGATGTTTCCGACGTGGATCTCGTCCGCTAGTTTCAAACGCGTGGTAGACGTGGCAGTGTTAAGTATAACACTGCACAGTGTAACAATGTTAAGTGTGAAACCAAGGTATATCAACCGCGATATCGTCTCGTCGCTGGAAAGTAGATTTCGCCGTACCTGAAAATCCGTAAGGATCTCTGGCTTCGCAGTAGGATTGGTCATTCCGTCCTTAATATCCTGCACGTACATTTGCATTCTGTTCATTCCATGGCTAAAATGGCCACGGTAATCGGCGACCATTAAATGATGGCCAACGATACAACCATCCTCGAGCGATGTTCCAGCCTTGCACATGCACTCAGATACGAATCTAACCACCTCCTCTTTAGGGACCACCATGGGTACGTCACATTGACTGGAGGCTAACCTTGCCCACATCCAACCAGACTTCATCGAAGTTCTCAACAACTTTAACGTATTCCACGAAACACTCAGAAGGCTTCTGTTCATGTTCGACATTATTTTTTTCCGTTGAGCGACTTATCAATCGCGATGAACCAATTGAATCAAGCCTTGTCTATCTTTTTTATTAGCAATCCTACTGTGACGTTGATTTTAAGAATATATACAAAGCCACATACGTAAATCAAACGATAAACCGCGAAAATATCATCGAGCTAGGTTATCGGTTCTTTTTTTAAATTTCTTACTTAATCTTAAAACCTCGTTATTACGACTTAAAGTTCTTTTAGACAGGATTCAGTTTTAATAATATCCTTTTGTACTCTTCGTAAATTGAATTTAATTCGATGTATTCTTTTACAAATTGTTCTATCTTCTTCTTCTTCTCTAGCTGTGCAGAGTTTAAATTTACCGCTTCCCAAACTTTTCATCCAATCTACTCCTTACCTCCACGTTTTGTTACATAAGTGTTAACTTATATCAAGGATTCTTCGAGTGTTTGCGATCGATGTACTTGCTGATCCACAGGAAAGATCTTCTCTAGAGCGTTCGAACTTGACGAGACAAGTTTTTTAACTATCGATCGTGCACGTGTGCAACTTTATGATCTATGGATCACACGGCAACCTTCACGAATCGATGTTATACGTTGTACTACCTTTCCAACTTTGTTCCTTGCGTCACGTGTAGTTACCTATTGGCTAGACTGACTGACGTCGGGAAGCGGGAACATTTAAATTACAAGAAAACGCCGCTTTATATAAAATTTCTTGCAGTTTCCTTTCAGTTGAATTCACAACTTACAGAATATTTTTATAATGTTTCTGCGTCACGAAATATCGATTGATATTCTCGAGAATTGTATCAGTGTGGTTCCTGAACGCGAAGAATACAATTTTATTATTTCCTTAACCTCTACTTTTTCCTTGTAAACTATGCCTGTAGAAATATTTCACTCGAAGCGTCGACTTTAATCCTTTAGAAACTATGATTGCAAATTTACATGGTAACGTAACGTTGTGTATTTTATAAAAGAATACTCTATGCATATTTGATCCACTTACTGCCTATTTCATTCTACACGCTATTTCTAGGTTAAAGAAAAGGATGACGTATGTCTATTTTTGCATCGATAAAACTAGCTCTATCTACGATAACGTAACCACATACTACAAAGCACCTAACTTTATGAAAAAATATTTCAATCCTGCAAGCTATTGTACTATGCAATATCTATTCAAATATTTTCTTTTCGAACAAAGACCTTCCCTTCGTTATTCTAATCCTCCATCCCTGAATCAGATAAATCTTTAAACATCGCTATCTTTATTCCAAATTAAGACTTATAGCTTACACAAACCACAGTAAACACTCTATGTACTTAATATTCGGACAATAATTATTAGATTTGGAAGATTAATTTTAATGCGAATTAATATTTTTGAGAATACAATTAAAAAATTGCTTTATCTATCAAGCATTATACAAAGCACTATACTTTGTATATTTCACATATATATATATCTTCATAATATGTGCGGTCTGTGCAATTTTGCACTTTCAAATTTCCCATAAATGCACAGAAATCCACAATCTAACAACTATAATCTATATCTCCATTGAGCTCCAAACAAACATCGTTCCAATTACTGCAATCTGTTCAGCGATGGAAAGGCTCTCGTTCCAAAAACGATTGCAGCTTATCGTTCATTCCTATCAATCCGGTCCAATCAATGGCACGTTACACAAAGCCTGTTATCAGCCGCTTAAAAATCAATTACCAATTTTGCTTGAGACATCCGACGCAGTTAACAGGACAAACGTTGAGGCAAGGATCGCGAAGCACATGCAACGGGGTCGTAAAGCGAGTAATTTCACAGATGCGCGCCTAGCAGCGCGAATAAAATGCACGTGACTCGTATACGGTGTGTAGACAGGTTGCAAGGCAAACCGGCTGATCCGGCCGCAGAAAAATCGATAATCGACCCTGCGTTTCCGCGTGCATTCTGCGCGCTGCGTAAAACTTATGCAATTCCAGCGTCGAATATTCGGCGCCATCCTACAGATTCGAGCGATGTTCGCGTAATTTGACGATAGTTGTATCAACGATACGCAATTTCTTTTGTCGAGGCATTCCACGATAGGAATAAGCGGATGACGAAAAAAGAAAAAGGAGCCAAATGATCGCATACTACGAGAAGACAACGCCGCGGTGTTGTGCGACGTCCGCTAGCTGTCGTTTCGCTTCGCTTCCTGAAAAACCAGTCCTTTATAGAGAAAACTGACGATTCGCGAAAAATTGCAATTGCACATTGTTATTTCGAAACGGGCTTTCGAAATCTTTAAGAATAAAAAAGAAAAGTGGCACAAGTGGTAAAATTTCGAACTTCCTGTCTTACGGTATTGAGCTAAATTTCTATTTGAATGTTTCATAATTGTACGAGAAGAAGAGACGGTTCGTGACTAATTGCACTCTTTGCGTTTTGGAATGTTACTGGAATTTTTAACAGTGGAGGGGGAAATGCGTATATGATCGAAGGGACTCGGAAGAAATGATTCAAGTGACAGAACATGAATCGTTAGAAATAAGAATTATGTTCAAGCCGAATCCTTATTCTAATCTAAAGTTTCGTCTGAATTGGTAAAATTGGAAATCAAGTTACGTAGTAAAGTAAGTAGTGTCTCGATGATCTGCGGTGATCGTATTATTCACAGTATTTTGAAAGCTAATATGTAATTAGATTTAACGAGTGTAATAAATAAATCATATAAAACAGAGAGAAAACAGAGAGAAAACAATTCATAAGACACTGAGTTAATTTGTGAAAACTATGAATAAAAATACAATCTGTATGCTTTCAAACATTAAAAATACCGTACTATACACGGTCATATATTCATTTTATAAATTCATAATTCAAATCATAAAAGCGTAACAAAATCTCCTAGGTAAATACAGACATTTATTTATTAATTTTTAAAAAAAGATTCTTAACTGAACTCCACCTTTGATGAACTCAAAATTGTGAGACGATATTGACCATTGTAAATGTTCGATAAATTCATAATTTGAACTACAAAGAATTTCGAACGGCATCAGATGGAAAAAATGAAATAGAAAAATACATATCCAATAGTTTGCAGCCGTAAGTTCATCAAAAACTGTCACATATCACCTGCGCATCATTATAGTCAACTGTCAATATTTGCGTTCCAGTTATACGAGTTTATGTATATGCGAGGTCGTTATATGCAAACTTATGTATATAGCATGTACACGAACTGATATACGTAACAACAAATTAGCTATATTGCTTGCAAATTAGGTTGCTAGAATAGGACAAAAATTGTTTCGATAATTTTCTATTCAACTCGAAGTTACAATGTATGAAAAAATATCAGCGATTGCCTAATACGACACACTGAATTGCGTCTAACGAATTGGTCAAGAACGAAATAACAATAAGCGCAGAAATACCATGGTAGAAGTCACTGGTTTCTTCGTAGATTTTTTAGGACCAGTTTCTATCTATGTTAAATAGCTAGACCTTCGCTTTATCGCACGAGAACCTCGATATGACGATCTCTCATCGAGAACTGTTATCGACTTCGTACATATATCTCATCAAGGACATTTTGTGATAGAAACGTCGAACTAATCACTATAATAATTAGACTCGTAAATTTTCGTTCGCATAAATTCGTCGTTCAAATGCATCTTGAAACTGCGTTGGGGCCAATCAGGTGTTAAAAAGACCTTGACTTCGATCTTCCCGAATGCAATAAAATTTTATGCACTAAAAGCGTTCAACCATCAGCTAATCAAAGTAGTATTTTCACGCTAATTTATTCTTACTTTTTATATTGTTTCAAGTTTTCTCAGCTCAGAAACCGAATTACTGCATTGCCCATTCATTTGCGTTTTATCTATTTCTACGAAATTGTAAATTTTTATTGTCGATATTTCGCGGAAAAGCCAAGATTACGGGCTAGCAGATTTAAGCTTCTTTAATATCATTGTCAGGTTAATAAACCTGTACATATATTTACTTATCTTTATAGTTAGGCTGAATAGTTTCCCAGCGTAGTGGCGGTAAAACTGTGTGCAGATGTGATATTACGAAATTAGATAGAAAAATAAATAAATAACGAGCGAATACATTATTCCAAACGAAGGAGTAAAGTTAAAGAATTCAAAATTATGAATAACAAAGTTATGATATTTATACTGAAACGATCGATCATGCGCTATTTCATTACTGAAATTCTGACGCTATTTCGCAGAATTTGCAGCTCGCGTCGGAATGTTTGACGCGATAAAAGATTGATTTATTACAGATAAACGAATTAGCAGGTCGTAAAGAAGAGAGGAACAAATGTGTAATTAATACAGTTTATCTCACCTTCCAATGTAATTAGAAATCGACTAATCACCGTAATAACTTGTTTAAATTACTCGTCAATTGACAATGTAAATTCCGATTACGTACATAAATATATTCATATAATTACGCGTTAATCGAATTTATCCGAATCAGAAGCACAGAAGAAAAAAGAAGAAAGTGATATGCTTCTTGGTATTGCTCGTGTCATCATGGTACATAAGTATCTCGCCTTGTGTCAACCTTAGCAATTATCGCTGCTTATGATTATCGTGACTTAATACGAAACACTGTTCGAATAATAACTACGTTGCCTAGGAATATTCAGTTCAGTTATTAATATTTTCTGCGTTACCTGCTTCCGAAAGTTCAGTAATTTTTAGGATTTACAAAAATTCTTTACGAGAGAAATCTTATTTTTATCAGAAACATCTGTTCCAGCCAAGGAATTTTTGAACGCGTAAATTACTTTGAAAAAGATCTCTATGCGAAGAACCAAAATAATATGGAAATTATTTTGATGACACAACACGCGGTTTTATTGGAAAAACGATGCTTCACATGCATCAACCTAATATTACAGAAAATGTCGATGGTTAAACGAACTAATTTACGTTCGAGTAGTCGAAATTATAATCAATATGTTGTGATTACGCTGTATTTTCCTTTCCTTTTCTTCTTTTGCTTATCGGTCAAAAATCTACCGGTAAGGTAAATCGCATAGAAATTGCATAATTCAACGTCATTTCGCGCTAACAAATCCAAGTATCGGCAATCGGAAAAAGCGCTGCTTGCGATTACATCATGCATATTCGATCGCGTTACTTAACGAACTCGGCCGTCTAGGAAAAAAGAATACTGCGTTGTTTTTCGACGTATCGGAAAAATAGAAGGAAAAGCGGAGGAATGGCGCGGAATTTCGAGCAAAGCGTTAATCAACACGTTAACACGCCAATAGCGATACACGATCGTCAGTTGACTTTGAAGAAAACAAAGAAACATACGACGATTAAACCAGTTGTCTTGAAAAAATAAATTTAAATTTCAAATTTTTATTTCATCCTGGAAATCGAGGTAGACAAATACTAAATTAAGCAAGAAGCAGAGTATTTTTAATTGAGCAGCGCAAAATATATAAGAGAATATTCGCGCACCGTTGAACCAGCCAGTACAAAGATTAAATTACTTAATTGATCGAGTAGTTAATTCACGATGAATGATTTACTACATCGTACCCAGCCATCAATGAACTGCAAGGTGAACGTACTCTGAATGAAATACAGAAAATGAAAGAAGAAAAAGAAAGTAACGAATGACAAAATGATCTCAAGTAATTTAAATAATCGCTAATAACTCAAGAAAATGTAAATGGAGGATGGTAATCAATGAGTTCTAGAGAAAGATCAATTTCCGTGATGGATCGAACAAGAAACTCGCTACTATACGGCTTCAGAAGACGGAGCAGGAGAAAAAGGTACAGGCCTCCTCAACAGAAGGATGTAATTTACCGGTTTTTGTTTCTCCTGTGTGTCTGCCAATAACTGTTACGGTGAGATGACTTTTTGTCTAACCTTTCGGCGGATTGCAGTACCAGCGATCGTGAGACGGTAGTCTATTCACTCTATTTTCAACATACATATTAAAACACCGATTCTACGAATTATCGTCATTGAAAAACAGCGACAGCATACAACAAACGAGAGTTCTATTCGCAAGAAAATAAATAGAGAACGGACGACATAAAATTTGTTAATCTATTTTTCTACTCTTTAGGAAGAATGTTAGGAGTTTATTTTCATGGTATTTAATAGGTAATAAGTAAATAATAAATAGGTAGAAATTACAACAGTGTAAAAAAAAATAAGTAGAAAATTTTCTTTCCTGCTTAAATTTTTTCAAAAGAAAACCTTACATAATGACAATCGTCCTAAGTTTTTTTCACAATTATTACTTTCGTAAATACGTACACAGCACAAACAGAGACATCGCAAACTGGTACCCATTTCTTAAACGGTAAATAAAGAATGGAAAGTACAACATTTTCTTTTCTGCTTGTATTTCTTTCGAGAAGAACCTTGCATAATGGCAATCGTCGTATGTTTCTTTTCGCAATTATTCTTTTCGTGAATAAGAAGACAAGAGAAACAGAAGAGGTCGAGAAAATGGCAAGCTGCCCCGGAATTTTGCAGAGGGTGTTTCGAAAGTGACGCGACCATTCGAGGACGCAGTATCTTTGCGCTTACTATAATACAAGGTCTAAAAATCCATGGCGAAGTTGGCAGACACGACTATTATTATATTGTTGCAAAATCAAGACTGCACGTGAGGGTGAAAAGAAGAGAAAACGTCATTAGTCAGGCGAATCACGCAGTCAAGACGAATTGACTTTAAAATCATGTGGAAATGTCGTGATTTTTCTAAGATAGAAACGTACAAGAACATGATTTATCTTAAATTCCTAAACGCTGGTTTAATATAAAACCTGGATTGAATCTTTAAAACTTTCTAGAAGTAGTTTAATGTTAAAGACTATTAGCTTATTCCGTTACTACTCGTTGAAACGGACGCCAGTCAGTTGAAACTATTTCCACTTCATCTACATACGAAATTCCGATAAGAGATATATTAGGTCACACACATTCTAGCCGATTCTTCGTTACAAAATCTACTACAATTTCAATCAACTTAATTTCAATATCTTATCGATATCAATATTGTACTTTTATTTTTTATGCACGAGATGTCCCATATCTGTTTTCGTTCGTCAGATTTCGTCTTCGTTTCTCAAAAAATACCATGCGACTCTCTCATGATACCGAATAGTTCGTAACTAACCAAACTCTGCTAAACGATAAACACTGTTCTACGAGTTTCTAGGAATCCCGTGGAATCGGAACAAACAGGCGAATCCCCTGATAAGAGATAGCTTAAAATTGGATGGAAGAGCATCTATAGGTTTGAGGTTTTCAGGCCGCTGACAAAAATGAATATCGGATCATGTCTAAAGCATCACGATTCACGGCGATCTATGCCATTTTATGCAAACAAGCGCTTGCCTGTGACGATTCCATAAATTAGCGAAGACCGATCGCTCAGGTGGTGATCAGCTGACAATCAGCTGAGAATGGGTCGACGAGAGAGCGTGGGCACGGTATTCAAAATGCACGCGAGAAAGTAGACGAGCACGTGGTGTCTCTCTGTCCTCGTCTCAGATACAAATCCCGCTCCCAAGCGAACTATTCGCGGCTAGCAGCGCACCGCAGCCAAGAATAAACATGAAAATAGGTTCGCAACCCTTACTTGGCGTCGCTTTCGCCTAGCCCTCGTCACTATAAATCATATAACGAAAACAATCAACCATATCTATCGTACAATTCATAGTAAATCAAGCTGGTTCGTCATTCGCGTCGAAGATTGATCTATTGCATCCAGTTTTCTCTTAAGAATGAAAAATACCTCACATTGGTCGAACGTTAAAGGAACGAACAAGTGTTAAGAATTTAAGAAACAAAATAGTACGCACTGGAGATAGTCTGAGGAGTAAAAATGACGGAAGATGAACTTACCAATGTGTTTTGATATCCCAGACCATATTCTTCGTTCGCCTCGCTGCTGGACGATGCCATGTTGGATCTTCAGTTGGTCGAAGATCGTGCACGATTCGATTTCGAAACTTAATGAGACGCGAGAGGATCGGAAAATGGATAGCTCGATAGAAGAAGTCAGGGTAAATACCAGTTAGATCGAAACTTCACTAATGGTTATTGGTCGTTTAAACCAGGCGATTCTTTCTTCCTCTTCCTCCCCTGTCTCCACGGCTTATCGTGCACGATCCCCGCTTTGGACACATTTATCGTCTTCCCTAGAACGATCTTCGAACTTCTTCAGCCAGGCATCGACCACCATTCGACTCGTTCGCGTCTCGCCAACTCGACGATACTTTCGCACATGTACACCAGTACAAAAGCACGATACCACCCGACTGTTTCGTTCGTTCCTCAATACATGTTTATAAAGTAACAGATAAGTGAGTTACACGTGGAACTACGTAAACGCCGAAGACGGAATCACGTTTCGTTATACGGACGACTATGGACAACTATCAGTTTCGTCGCAGGCGGTTTTTCTCTTCCGTTATTCGACGAGAAGTATCAGAAGAGGCTGATTTACGAGATTTCGTTGTTTATCCCGCCTCGATCGCGAACATTCCAACAATTAATCGTATCGTGTCACGAGCAACAGAAAAACAATTAGTTCCGAAAACGACGCTGTGTATCTAAGTAACGCGGTTTCAAACACGCGCACGATAGCCACTAGCCGCTCTGAGACGCGCGTCGAGACCGGGTGCCGAACTACCAAACAGAAAGAAAAACAACTAGCCCCACCACACGCTGCCACGAAAATCCTACGATATACACTGCGCCACTTTCGCGTTCTTACTCTGATTTTCGTGAGGACTTTCGCAAGGAATCTTCTCCATAAAATATTGTTCCATCCGCGATTCTCTCGTTAGTTGATTTATGAGTTAAACGATCCTTAAAATCGATCGAAAAATGGTCAAAAGATCGGACGAAGACCGTTGCAAACGTAGGAACAACGGTTAGCGATCGAACTAATCCTTCGATAATGGCATGGCCCAACAAATTCGCGTTGAAGAAATCGTACAAGATGATTTTCTTTGAAAACTTTCACTCGTTCCACAACAGACTCATTTCCGCTATTCGTTGTTCGACGAATGGGTGTTAAGAGGTAAACGATCGAAACGGTTCTCAGTGATGGAAACGATTCAAAGGATCCCAAGGGTCGTATGACCTACGATATCGGTGACACGAGACGCGCTTCCCAAGCGACTGTCCGGTTGGACGGTCGTCAGCCGACTGATAGGTGTATGAATGAAGCGACTGGGATTTCTGCCTCGGTTTACAGGAAAAATCGGAATCCTGTCCCGCCGGTTGACACTATCCAACACGTGACTTCGACTTCGCCGTTGTCTTAAACGACCATTCGATACCTATGATTTCACCGTTTTCGTCGGCATAACGCGACAGTGATTAACACACTGGTAAAAATGATTCGAAACGATCGAATATCGGAGAATAGATACTGTTGTTAATCTGCAACGAACTCTAAGATAATTCGACCGGCGTATCGATTCGTACGATACACTTACGCACTATCTCTTGCACGGTCTCCGGCAGATGTAATTATGTAATTCGAGTTAACTGGGATTGCCTGAGAACAGTTGACGCGCAACGGAAGCTTGTTCGTTCACGAAATATTCCCATTTACGGCACGGAATGTAACGGAAGTGTAAGGAAGGAAATTACGAGTTTGGATATCCACTCCACGAAAATTTGTGCCTGTATAGTTTGTTTGCATTGACTCAAGCTGCAAGATAACACGGTGAATAGTTAAATGACCGAGTGAAAAAGGAGAAATAACGCGCGTAGCTGACCATTTTATTCTCTTGTACCGTTAAATCCTTCAATCGCGATCACGGACATCCGACCTTGACCATCGACTTATGACGCGCTGTCTCTTCCTTCAAAGTTTTGGTATTACTTCCAGAGTCATTCGACCGAACTCTTCGTCTTTTCGTTAATTGGCCACCGACGATGCACTAATTTCATATCGCCTGACATTTTGACCGGTCGGGTCAAATGATCGAAAACATTGACTTGGATTGTAAACCGAGCGAGTCACCAAGTGCGCAGACGTATACGTTGCCTACGTATTAAACTCAGCGAGGTGTAAACATGATTAATTATCAGTTTCACTTAAAAACAGTACGCAATATGATTTGAAGAGACACAGAGAGCAAGAGCAGGAAAGTTTGTGAACTTTCTACGAGATAGAAATTGGATTTGTCTTCGGTAGAGGATGATACTAGAGAATCGAGTTTCACCGAATTCGATGGTCTTCGTGTCACTTTGGCTTCGAGAAGCATGACGGTATTCACAGGAGAACGTTAGTACATGAATATTTATGAGCGCGAACATTCTAGGTACGTAATCGCGATAGGCTTTGAAATCGGACAGTCGCATTGGCGGTGGATCGAATACCTTTTTTTATCATTTGGCATCGGTGTGCTTACACTACGACGTGGAAATCACACGTGGGATCGATGGGCGTTGATATCTGGAGGGAAGCAAGGCGAAACGGAAGCCTGAATTATATTAAGACCGATGAAAAAAAGTATAAACGTTATATTATATATTATATATCATTAATAAATGTACAATGTACAATCGAAACATTCTAACAAGATAAAATTATGAAATGTATTGTCCATTTACAGATTTACAAAAGGCCACCCATATTAATACTGTAATTATTATGATAAATTGTGCGTTTGAATATATTTAAGTCTCAAAAATATATGTATTTTATCCCTTGATATTTCTCTTTTTGTCTGTGCTACTTTAATCGCAAATCCTTTGAACAGGACTACGAGTCGTGACTTTTCAATAATTATGTTATTTCTAAGTTTGTGTGAGCCCAGCCGTTACTCTGCTGGGATAACTTTCATTTTTGGATATAAATTAACAACCCCAAAGCATTATATCCCATTTGGTACAATGCGATCAGTTAGAAGAGGAATTGTCAGATGAGCCTGATACAGTTGAAACTATTGTAAACATTAAAAAATATTTGTTTAAACCTGTAATTCAATATTACTACTACGTTTATAAATATTACTCACCAATGATAATGATAAGAATAATCACGCAGATGATACCAATGATGATCATCATTTTAAGATTTTTCCACCAATATTTTCTTTTTAATTTTCCTGCCTGTTGTTCAAATTGGGTCGCTCCCTGTTGCAAAGCATCAGCACGATTCTCCAGTTCCGATAGCTTTTGATCTCTTTCTAATACTTTCTCCACGTTTACTTTCATTATCCCCACAACCTCGTCCACGGTTGCTTGTGTTTGTTGCAGCTTTTTAGTGGAAGGTGGTTGAGAATTACGAGGAACACCTGCCTCTGCATCTCTGGAATTGCCACTGCCGTCCATATCTCTGTAACCAAAGAAATTACATGAAATAAATATGAATACATACATAAAGTCAGTTTTGATCGATAGTTTAAAGCAAATTTTAATATCGGCTTTTAGTAAATTATAATAATATGCACTAACTACTGAACACACCCATAACCTCGAAATTCGCGAGATATTTGTATGAACGAAATTCATCAACTAGAATTTTGTACATGTTATAATTTTTTAATAAATACTATATAAATGTAAAACTATCGCTAAAGTAATAATAATATAATACGATATACTAAAATACGTACGTCTGTTTACAGTTATGTGATATGATTTTATTAAAAATACTGATTTGTATTACATTTTAAAATAGGAGAGAAAGTAACGAAAACTTACTTTAAGATGAAGGGTTTATAGAAAATTTAATAGAGATGTGAATTGTTTAAAAATGATGACAGCTATCACCAAATTTTGCTTCGATGACGAATACACTTTACAACTGTACATGACATACGATAAAGATGGCGATGCCCATGACGTCATATTTATTATGAACACTCTTAGGAAATAAACAACAGAAGACTAGATTCCTTTTGTAATTTAATTTTTAATTCACGGGTTACTACTACGAGATATGATCATTCGGTTCAGACATTTTCTACAAAGTAGATTTTCAAAATTACAGTGATGCGAAGTTCAAATTCAAATCATGCCTGTGCTGCCACCTTAAAGCAATTATGTGCATCATACAAGCATTTGAAAGTTTTGACATTTCTTTCTACTCTACTTTGTATTAGTCTGAAAGTTTATGATTTTATGATATATGCTTTAATTCCGCTACGACAACAAATATTCCTACCTACTAATAAATGACACGAATCAAGCAAGAAAACATATAATTTTTGCAAAGCAAAGTCTATAAAAGATAACTGCGAAGAATAAAATGCATAATTATAAATGCATCTGTAATATTTAAATACAAATCACAGCGGACTGCTTATTTAGCTTCAAAATGAATAACAGATACCAGCAACTTGCGCATATATTAGAATGATTGAACAATGGTAAACTATCGTTTCATCTTCCTATAGCTATCGATACGATCTTCTCGAATCTCATAAAATATATGTCTCAAAAACTCACCAAACGAACGATCCATCTTGCGTTTTCCTCCGCGTACTTTCGACATTTTTGCGAAGCAAAATTCACGATGGCACCCTCGCATCGCGACAAAAATCGTAACGAGGACATAAATAAAACATCTTGCGGATGCTCGTGCGCGTATTCTCATCGCGTTACCAGGACCGTACGAACGTACCTCGCGGAAGCGTACTTCCATACGAAACAAAAATTTATCCAATTTCACGCAAAAATCGAATCTTCAAACTCCTGAAACAAGGCCTCGCAATGAACCTTTGCATTTCTACCGTATGCACGTTTTATTCGACCACAAAAAAACGGTAACAAGTATCTCAGTTGCGAAAGGAATAGATTGACAGTGGCGGTCGTTGGCCTATTTCCGCGACACAGGAGTCCGGGTTCTCGAAAGCCACGTTAACGTCCCTGATTTACATTCAGGGTGTGTTTGCGCATGAGGGTTGCAGCTGACTCGCGTTTATTGACTGGAAATATCCGTACATGCGCGTTGCTTCCTATTCCAAGCCACGACTCGAACTTCCTTATTCGATACATCGATTCTCGTCTTCTAATCACCAACAGGAAAATTTCCTTTATATCAACGTTCCAGGCAATGTATCTCGTATATCGTCTAATTAGACGACATTTTTTATCAATTCGATGATTAGCGGATAGGAAAGAAATTTACGAGAAGGTTAAAATTGGAAATACGAGGGGGACGATTCGAACTGTTCGAGGGTAGTCGAGATAACGGTGGAGCGGCGGCGCGGCGGTGCCGCAGGAAATTTTATCAATACCGTGGCCGTCTAGTGGGTGACAGTCGCTCGTGAAAAGTACGCGGTCATCTGACGGTGTTGGCAAGTCAGCGGATAGCTCTAGTTCGGGAAACCAACAGCGATTGACGAACAACATGTGAGTAGAAATCTTCACGATTTCCAGGAAATTTGACCGATCGTGTGCTCGTCAGAAAGTGTATTGGCGTTCGAGCAAAGCCAACAAGGAACCCGTGTGCACTGGTGATTCCCTGCGAACGGGTCTATATCGAAGCGCCCCGCGAATCTATAACGCTTTCACAGACGGGGACGTGTAATTTCTAATGACGAGAAATTGCCATCGGGACCTGTCGAATAAATTCCACGCGATAGAATCGATAGACACTGCTGTATAGAAATGTAAATCTCTTGGTTCTTTATTATCTTCGTCGGTTTTCACGTTGATAAAAGGGAAGAATGGACACGTTGAAAAATCCACGAATTTATCGACGATGTAGATGAACGAGTGAATTTTTATCGATGAATTCCTTGTTTTCAAGACAAGCTCATTTCTATTACTCGGCTGTTGTACGAAAATTTATTTATTTTTTTGCAAGAGGCATTTATGAAAAATTGAAATGTTCAGTTAGTTGGAAATAGTAGTCGTTCTTTATATACGAGTGTCAAAATTAAATTTTGCCCACGTAAAGTTGAACCTGGGCAAACGTTTCTTTATAGAGTAGAAATTGTCACTGTGTGAAATTCGATTGTTATAAGACGGATTTTAAGACGCAATTTCCTAGACCTGTGTCGCCAATCGATTCCCCTGCACGGCCTGTTCGCAGCACACACCAGAATTTCCAATAAAGTGCAGCAAAGCTTAAAGCGGACCATAGGGGCGATTTCTTTTGAATAGTGGAATTGCGGTCATTGAATTCTGGAACTCGATCTCGTGCCTCTCGTCTTTACGATCGAAGTCTATAAGCTTCAGAGAGGGACAGAAACAGCTTATGACTTTACTGCCATCATCCTTATCTGCCATCATCTTTTTCACGATTCGCGATTTAGTTACATTTTTCTCTCAATTTCTACTTTGCAAATTATCTCTAAATAATCGTATAAAATTTAAGTTGTTATCGTTAGCTTCTTGATATTCTTCCTCGTGATAATTTCGTAGCACCATGATATTTTGTAAACCGTTTCCTGACATCGATCGATACCACATATGTTTCGACTGGCAAAATCGCGAAATTTCATTAGAGACACAAACGTACTGGTGGCAATCAATCGTGAAACACAACGGACTGTACGCTCTATTCGTAGTTTCTATATTTAGATAATCAATGGCGAGCACATTTGCAGCAATGTTCTACGACTTTGACGAAACAGAAACGCCCGTTTTCCGGCGCGTATCAGGTGTCTGAATGAAAGTAGATTGTCTCAAACAGAGTCAGACGAGATGTGGAATATGGCTCGAACAACAGGTTTAGATGAAACGTGTCTTTTGAACAACAGATAATAAATTAACCTTATCATCTCTATTTCTATACGCATAATATATATTCTTTATTTCCGCTCACCTTTAGGCTTCGCGGTTACTTTCAGTCGCAGACTTTACACAAACTACGAACTTACACATAAACGGAACATATATAAAATTGACCAGAATAATAATCATAACTCACTTTCATCTGTATTTCGTTAAGAAAAAGACTACCATTTTATTTATAGAAAATATTTCCATTCACTTCTCTGAAATACTTTTCTGTTGCTCTTTTTTGTTTTCTTTATGCACTCGTTAACATTAAGCTGTTTAGTCTTAAGCGTTTTATCTTAAAACTTTATCTCAAAGTATAGTACACTCGAGTGTTTCTAATTAATATTAACGAGGTCTACGCAGAATGGTACTTACACGTAGTTACAAACTTTTAAGTGAAGCTTCAAAGAATAAATGTTTAACATATAAATTGCACGCAGAGTTGCAGAAAAATAAGCTATCCTTTCGTGTAATCTCCGCTTTTCCAAAAAAGATAACACACGTCATAATATATCGCGCACAGGGTATTCAGTTATATTTCGTTGACGTCACCTGTTCTTCGATAATTCTAAAATTAGGATATCGATGTGAATATTAAAAAAGAAAAAAAAAATAAAACCGGGAAGCTTTCGAACAACGATGAAAGTTTCTTTTCGCGCAGCTTTTGTACAGGTTACTGCTCGAAAGTTTGTCAAACATTGATTTTGAAGAGGACCGGATAAAGTATTTCGTGATTCATGAAGAGAACGTGCATCGAGCGATTAAAATAATAATCACGATAACTATTTCGCAGCCGACTCGAAGATAATTCAATAATGACGATAACCGACGTACCTGCCTCAATCGATATATTAATCCGATTATATAAGCCGCTTGAACGCATAAAGGCTTTAAACCAGGTGAACGCTTCCCTTTTCTATCCCGTAACAAAAAAGCACCTCTATTTCGACGTAAAAATTTTTCATGGGGAATAATTCGCGTTCTTCATTATGGGACCTCGTTAATGGTTTTGTTTCTCTTATGTCGCATCCGCGTTAATTAGATCGCGAGTTGCCTTAATGATTGTGAATAAACATCGTATTCAGACTACAGCTCGCGAACACAAACTGATCCTTTGATGTACCGCTTCCTGAGTGAACGTTTGTTGTTCGCTAATGAGTAGACTGTGAATGTCCGTGCAATTTCATATTTTTATAAACGCAACTGAAATAGAAACTCGTTTTACCTACTAAATATTACAACGAGTACTTTATTCTGAATCTTTTCATATATTTTTGCAATTTATAAATACGTAACAAACACGTAAGAATCAGTCAGCGTTCATTGCTGCCAACGAACACGATTCAAGATTTATTCATGACTTGTGGACGTACTGTGGACGTAGATTAACATCGAGTCTATTCTGAATTACATTCATCTATTCCTAGAGTGGTACTCGACTGAATCGGTGAATCGATCGGCCGTTGCTACTCCGTCGTTCGATAGGCTACCAAAAATAAAATTCGCAACCTCTTCGACCGCTTTTTAATCTGCCATCGGTACTCGACATGTCCGGAAACCCTGATTCACCATCTCGAGCACGCGCTCCAAATCGGAACACACGTAGTTCGCACACGAAATGGTTATACGTATCGCCATTGAAAGTTTCGTTTCTTTAGCAAAACTCACTGATAACGAGAATGAATAAAATTTTCAATTGCCAAATATCTTTATCGGAATTTCTCTGATTGATAAAAATCAGAAATGAAGAGAACGAATGAAATTTCCAATTATGAAAGATATTTCTTTAGAAGTAGTATCGTTTTGATGCGTGTGTATCGGATATCGTATATGAAAGAGGAAGCTATTTGCGTGGGTGACTTCTTAATTAGTCAAACTAATATAGAAGAAAATGTAGATAGGATGTATGTATGTTCGGAAACAAATCATGAATGTAGCTCTTGGATATCGGAATAAATCGTTATAATTGAAATCGAAACGTGGACAGTAATTCAACGAAACGCTGTGAAATTTTTCCACGATGTTGAAGCATAAAGCCGACGAAACGCCAACGCGAACCTGTCATGATAATTAAACATCCTCGTTGTGTTTGGAATGGTCTTACCCTGTCTGAAAGATCAATCCTTACGAGATACGTTTGGTCACGTATCAATACAAATATCATAGGAGTTCGTATTAGCTTTTCCTTTTCACGTGGTCATGATCCTTGCATTTTTAGTAGAATGAAAGTAAAATACGTGAATCGTGTTAAATCAAATTTGTTATCTCGCATAATGAGAGAAACGCAATGAGATCTTTTATTAGAGTTAATTATAGAATTCGTTTAGAATTCGAAGGGGAATCCTCGTATTTGCGTCTACGTGTCTCGAGTCATTTCTTTTTCTCTGAAGAATATTTAATATACTGTATCGCGTTCTTAGAAAGCGATGATAACAGAACGAGATGATATCATAAGCAGACAAAAGCAGCTATACGACGAACGTGCAGCTTTCACGAATGTGTCACGAACTTTGGCCTTTCGTATTTGCCACCGCCCTCGGTTCGATGGGAATATCGCAGTATCTACCATAATATAGAGAATCGAGTCGTAATATCTACGAACAGATTCTGAGAAACACTATAAACGTTATATTCAACACGTGAATGCAACACGTTTTAATTGATACAACGTATCCATAGCCAGATTTAAAAGAAACGAAATATACAAGTGACGATATAAATTTGATATTGATCGATGAATTTTGAGTCGACCGAACCAAACGAAGAATAGAAAGATCATTATGTCAACGTGAAAGAATATTTTATTACAAAGCCTTCTCGTCGACGATGTTTTCACGAGAAATTCAATGTACGAGTAGGTCACCATCTGATTCTTCTCGGAACAATGACGCAAATTTGATAACAAGCCGTGGCAAAGAAGGCAAACGAAGAAAATAAAAGAAGTATCAGATTAGTTGTTTTTAAGACTGGATCCTCTCTTGACGAGCGCTTATCTCGCAAAGAACAGTCTAGACACTTTAAGATTTCTACTCGCCCTTAATCTTCCAACGCGTGCATTACTTCCTCTATCTGTCGTTCAATTTCCTCTCCCGGAAGTTTAACCCACCAACGATAATGAGACTGAAATTTCCATTCATCGAGAATATTTTAAATATTTTTTCCTCGAAGGAATTCGATCAGGGAAAGCTAATAGGAAATTTTTGAATCGAATATATAAAATTTAATAGATACTTTGGATCGCGAATAGATCATAAACGTACGAACGTTATTTGGATAGTGAGAAAAGCAGGGAATATGGAAAATTTATATGGCTACTTTAAATCGAATAGTAAGTGATGGAAATTACCTGGATAGCGAGAGAAAAGTGATAAACGGAGAAAATTTATAGATATTTTAGATCGAATAGATAGCAGATGATGAAACGTTAAATTTATAGATATCTTAGATCGAATAGATAGTAAGAACGATGAAAATTATGTGGCTAGTCGGAGAAACATGATAAACGAGGAACATTGATGATGATTGCAGGGCCACCGAAGGCGGTCTAGCACCTGATGCTGCTGCGGGTGCAGGTGCAGGTTCTGATGGAATCGTCGGAGGTCCCAGGACGCCTCAGCAGATCGCCTCGCAGAAACGACTGCAGGCGACGCAGGCGCAGGTAGATGAGGTCGTTGACATCATGAAAACGAATGTTGAAAAAGTGTTGGAACGTGATCAAAAGCTCTCTGAGCTCGATGATCGAGCAGGTAAGATCTGAACTTTATCTTTCCTTTATTTCTGCTTTATATTTGTAAGATATTCCCTGACAAACTTCCTGAAATGCTTCGAACTTATGTCTTAATAATAACGACATAATAACAAGGAGTGCAATGGAATTCCATGTATTGAAAGCTAATGTTTAATCGAATCTAATTCTTTGAAAAAAGATTCTTATTACGTAACAAAGAATTACAGACAGACTACTGATTTATATACAAATTACAAATACAAAAACAAGAAATACAAATACAAAAAATGAATACAATTAAAGAAATAAGATTTAAATAAAGAATAATTTTACCTATTGAACATAGTAAGAAGCGCCTTACTTTTTGTCTATTACACGCGTTCTATGCATTTTTCTATATGCAAATTAATAAATATATAGAAATCTGAAATCTAATTATAGAGAACCATTCAGTCTTATTACATAAAGTATTTATCCCCTGATAGGTTGACATAAATGGAGTTCCGCTTTAAAAAAAACAAGCAGCAACTATGTGTTCGTATGAAATTTAAAAGTTTAAATATCGAGTGCCGACGAGTCATAAAAGAGAAAAACGAGGGACGGTAACTAAACGAAAGACACGTGATGTCCTCTGTGTCTGGTGTTTTGTACGTGCATCGTCGTGATATCCAACGAAAGTTTTCACAGGAAGAATGCCATAATGGTTAAATGGGGGGAAATGGAAATACACACAGCGCGATTACGAGCGCACAAAGCGGCGGATTAAGCCGAAGGACGAGTTGTTCGCTACGTTTGCTCCAAGGATATTCTCTCCATTCATTCTCGCACGGCATTAAAGTAGTTCGACCCTGCGCGTCTCTCTACACGCTGATATCGATTACTGTGACGCTCTGGAATCGATGGCATGTTACGGGACTACCATCCTCGATCTTTCTCCCTGCATTCAGTTTGATCGTTATCCGGATTTTTCACCGGTATCGTGTATATAATTTTTCAAACAGTTCAAACATGTTAGAAAATCGAAGAATTGTTTAGAAATTCGTTGGATGTTTTAAATACTTTCTTAATTCTTTTAAGGAAAATATTTAGTGTAACGGAAGACTTCGTATTTTTAAACCCTACACTTTAAAGTATTTTATATTAAGAGAACGTATTTTTAAATTCTATGTTATAAAAAAAATAGAAATGAAACTTTTTATAATACAGTTAATTGAATTTACAAGTAAATTATACGCTCGTTATCATATTTTGCATAATGTATCGAGCAATTTTTCGAACTGATTTAGACGCCGGTCGAGAACTCATTAAAAAGGCAGGCAGAGTAATCACATGAGACGTTAGAACAAAGTATCGTAAGATAAAAGCATATTTCCGACTATGGCACGACCTCCCTCATTTTAGTCATTTTTAATAATAATTAATAAAAGTTTCACGTCGTAGTATTTCAAGCCCGAACAACTTCGTCCCAACGCCGTTTACAAGATTCTACGGACTCTTAAAATTGAATGCCATAGAAATAGCCAAAACTTCTTGAAAGTTCATGAAACGTGTAATTCTGTTCTAAAAAAAAATGTGTCCTTTTTTAGACGCGCTTCAGCAAGGAGCGTCGCAATTTGAACAACAAGCAGGAAAATTGAAGAGGAAGTTTTGGCTACAAAATTTGAAGGTAATAGACCCTTCTATTTAATGATCTTATCGAAATATTCGTTGAATTTAATTCTTTACTCCCGTCCTGCTTTCCTGCTTATAGATGATGATCATCATGGGCGTCATCGCACTAATCATATTGGCCATCATAGTTGGTAAGTAATTAGATTCATAGATGCACTTATTAAAGCTAATGACACTGCCATTGTAACTGTCTAAATGTTCTGTGTCATACGATCGATGTATCTCGCCAAGATTTAAAACGACCGGGTCGGCGTTAATTAAAAACGATACTCGATCATCTAAAATATTATTAATACCATTAATATCAGAATATCAGAATATCGCTAGTATATTATCGTATCGTGCTATATTATTACACTGGCAGAATTTCCCTGATAACGTAAACGATACAAGTCTCGCTAAATTTAAGAATTTAATAATAGTCTAAAGAAGAACCGAATCGGTCGTTTCTGGTTAATGTCTTTGCGTCTACATTTTCGTGTTGAAAAGAGGTCTCCGTCACCGAGATCATATTGTGCACGACGCAAAGGGACGATGATATCCTTTGAGTGAAGTGTCACCAATAAACTTGCACGGTTGATCGGGGAATTCCTTCAAGCATCCCTTAGGAATTCCTCGAGCTGATAAAATCTTGTCGACAGAAGTGTCACCGTGCTTCGCTTATATCGTAACTTATCGATCATTGTTTCTGGTAAATTGAAAAAGATCGAAGAAAATTATTATGACGGTATTAAGAAAAAAGCCAAATAGACTTCTATTTAAACGATATATGTCAATTAGTCCTCGCGATTGATCGAACAGTCTCGTTCGACGTGATCGCCATTATTGAAATGATTTTATTCCTCTCTTTCGAGGGAATGATCCCTCGAACTCGCGGAAGGAAACTGTTCGTAGAAGATCGAGAAGGATCACGCGCTAATATGCTACTAATCTAACGTGTGAATTCTATGTGTTTTTCTTTTTCATCTAGCGAACTTCATGTAGACGCGCTGGTTGGTGGAAAAGATTTGTGTGTGAGTGGGTCTGAAGGTAGACAGCAACAAAACTGCGACATTGCGTATTATTGTTATATCTCTGTCTCTCTCTCTGTCTCTCTATCTCTCTTTCTCTGTTTATCTGTTTCTATTTTTTTCCTATTTTTATCCTTATCTGTTCACGTAGGACGTGTGTACGAAATACCTGTATACGGATATGTATATGCCCGTCCTCGTTGTTCTATCTCACCCAAAAGCCATATCCCGTATCCTGAAATTTCTTCAACATGCGTACATATGTTCTCCTGCGAATGTTCGCAATTTCATAAGAATCTTTCTTGTTGGAACCTTAACGGTGGAAATTACAGCGATATTATCGTTTCAGTAGCAAAATTTTCACTCTGAGTAAAATCACTAAACTGCATGTATTTGTGCATTGATCCATAATTTTACGAAAACAATCAAAAATGTAAATTTTACCTATTAAATATTATAACGAGTACTTTGGATATTTTATATGTTTTTGCATATGGTTGTTTTAGCTGCTTCAACCGTATGACATTACGCGCGTTCTATTTGTTTCTCCATCATTAAATTTCGTAAACCATAAATGCTAAAAAAATCACGTTAACGACGTCGTTAAGCGATCCAACAAAAGACATGGCGAGAGATGCTTATGAAATTGACGCTTAATCATCGGTGTTATATACATATTGTCTGCCTGTAATAGGTACTTGCTGGTGTATCTGTCACTATCTGTATTTCCCCTAAGAACCGCCACCGTCCTTCGAGGCTCGTTGTATATTCATGAACCACTGATTTCGCTGTGCTCTGCTCCAATTAAGAATCACAGATCACGCACGTTCGCTACCATCAGAAACGAGAAGGAAACCGAGGAACGGTGTTTCATGAATTCTCGACGAGAATCTCTAATCGTCAACCAATCCTGATGTGTCTCTTCCAATGCAACACGATCCAGAGCAGCGATGCCACAAACACGAACGTTGGAGGCTTTGAGAAAGAATTTAAGTTACGAGAATAATCGATGTTAAAGTTGTTGGTCAAACAACGAAACTTCCAAAGTATCTGAAAAGTTAAGTAACATGTCGTAAGTACGCGTCTTTTATCGATGCATTTAAACTCTATGGCTCTATACGTTGCCACTAGATCAAAGCCTCCGCGGTTTCGTTTCTATGACTCTGTCGCGACAGGACCTCGTGTTATTGGAAAAAAAAAGAAAAAAAAGGAAGTTAAGAGAGAGTAAAAACTTAAAAGGTGTCGTTAACGGGGTCAAGGCGTATTTTCGAAGAGGAACGCGGTGATTTTTTGAATTTTTTCAAGACGTTCCACAGCAAGACAATCAGCTTGAAACCGCGAACAGAAAAACGTTTTGAAAGCTACGCAACCATTCACCCAGACCCGTGCCTCGTAATTACTGTTATGTGTCTGTCTGTACATTTTGGTGGCATTATCCCCTGTCTTTCTTCCGAAGTTAGTCCCAGCCAGTGATTTTCAATTTTTTGGTGGTCGAGTAAAAAACGAGATACATATGCAAACGAACAAAAGTGCGACGAGACTCGTGTAGCCATGTAGTCGCGTGGAAAAAAGAGCAGGGAAAACGAAAATTAAACGATAATGTGCGTGTCGCGTGCAGTGAACGGAGATAAAAACGAGCGATAACCCTTGAATACCACCGAGAAATGAAAACACACGAAAGGACAACACCACAACGACAAATTGACAACATTGACAATTAACAACAACAACAAGTACTATATATATATATTGCTCCTATGAACAACAAATAAGAACAACATCAACAACAACAGTAACAACAAAATCGAAAGAGACTTCTATAAAAGCTTTTATTTCACTCCCTCTCTTCTCTTCGGTACGGTAAGCTACAAATTTTACTGATGCACTTTATCGATACCAATTCTCTTTTTCAATATCTTTCTCTTCTTCTTCTTCTTCTACTTCGACATCGTACAAGGAGACAAGAATTTTTCTCTTCTTCCGGCATACTGGTTCTAAGTTTAATATCTTATTGAATATCTTCCTACGCGCAGAAGTGAAAATATCTCTCAATTTCATAATCTATATTTTTCCTTTCTCTTTCTTTTCAAGATAGAAATAAATAATATTCCATAGATCACCGTAAATAGAATCTTTTTAAGAATTCGATCAATTTCTGCGCGCAGCTTATAAATCCAAACATTTTGCATATTCGATTCAGCATGAGATTCTATAATACTTTCTTTCTTTATTTATTTATTTATTTGGCCACGTATCGATCCTGTTTATTTCCACGAACTCCAACACCGTTCCGGTATATACATTTACATAACAATATATATGATAATTATATGAATGTAAAAATATCTCGAATGCGAATATTTCTTTCAACGAAACGAAATATTTCTGGGACGATCTTCATGCTGTTTGCATGTTTCTCGATGCTTGTAAACGATTATGGGGCATGTATTTTTTATGTTTTACCTTCAATAGACACATAGTTTTTCGCCCGATCGGGAAACGTAGAGATGCATGGCTTCCTCTGGTTATCTACTATACTATGTGCTACATTACGAGGAGAAAAAGTTCGATGGAACGCTTTTATCGGAGCTTCCAGTGAATTACAATGATCGTTATAACGAGGAACGTTTTCACGAGGAAAAAAAAAATATGGAACGATATCAAACGATATCAAAATAAAAGTCACAACGATAACGTGCAAGAAGAAAAACGCGATAATGGTGTTCGGTCTTTACATCGAACGATCAGTGTATAGACACGAATTTCCAAGCAATATTGGATGTTAAATGTGATCGTAAATTGCATGCGATTTGCTTATGAAATATTATATTATATAAATTTGTATTTCTATGTCTGAATATGCATTTAAGGAGTAGGCTATTAGATGTGTGTATCATCGTGGACAAAGGTGTAAATTTCATGTTACAATAGAACGGAAATAACTACTGATTTCTTGCGCCTCTGTGCGATTAGATCGTCCGATTAAAAGCGTCTCTACCTACATACTTCGCGCCGTATCGTTTCAAAAGAAAAAGTTCGCCATTAATTAGTACGCTATTAATTGTTTGCTTGGAGTCAGTTGTTTTTCTGGCATGTTATAGCCACTAGAGCTTCCTACTTTCTTTAGAATAAACGTGGCACTCAGAAACCAAACTGATCGACTGATAATTTTTCAAAAATTCCCTATTTTTGCATAGAATGTATCAGAATGTTCAATTTTCCAAAATTCAATCGATTAACCCCCGATGAAGTTGATTACTTTGGCTTGTGTGTGACTCAGGTTTCATTTATTTCTCCCATTTTGTCCGATCTTTATCGAGAAAAGCTATCTTTGTCCATGATGGTCGTAGACTGGCATTCTGCATGCGAAGAATACCAAAAAAAAAAAAAAAAGAAAAAACTAAAAGATCGAAACGAAACCAAGCGATGTGACTGAAACGTCCGGCAAGATGAAAGATGTTGCAAAACAAAGCGGTCGCTTGGAAACGGACAAGGAAAAAAAACAATCGCCTGTTGTTCTTTTCAGCGAGCGCCATCGGCGGCAGCGACTCGCAAAACTGTACACGTGAGTAAAATTAAGGCAACAACAACAACAGCAAAAAAAACAGAAAACAAAAGCAACCAACAGCGAAGGGAAGACGAGTGAACAAACGGCGGGGAATTTGAACGTGTGAGACGAGTTTGAGACTGCGTTACAATGAAAGAAAAAAAGGATGGAAAAGGCTACACACGATCGATGAGCAACAAGTAACAGCAACAATAGGAAAGCAACAATAAGGAAGCATTGTACGATAAGATCGAAGTAACCTAAAGAAGTGGAGGAACAGTGGTAATAACGGGTGATCGATGAGAGTATCGATTATTGATAGAGGTTCTTCGATCTTCCAAGTTCGGCAAAACTCAAAAAATAAAATCAGAAAAAAAGAAAGAAGCGAAGAATAAATTGAAATGTAAAGGATATGTTATATCGAGGAAGAGAAGATCGAAGAAGAAGAGATCATAACGATTGCGGTTCCGTTTGCAATTCCGCCATCATGTTCGAGATCCAAAACGATGCTTTCGATTCGAACACGACAGTGGACTCGATCAAATTCGTTTTGTCAACGTTTCACAAATGGACGAAGGCCGGCCGCGAAAGGAGGAGACGCACGATAAAAAAAGCGAATGGTTTACAATTAGAAACTTTCGTGGATCGTTCGTCTAAGCATTGTAACCGTTACATCGGCCGATAGCAAAACGGAAAAACGGTGATCGTACGGAATAGAGAAGAAGAGGATGTAATGACTGATCTAATAATTGATCGATTCTTGCCTTCCTTCGTCCATCCTTGTGAGCTAATCCGCGCTAAATAAATGAATAAAGGAGAGAGAATAATTAATGGCCAGTGTGTACAAAGAGAAGAAGGGAGTTAGAGAGAAGATGAGGAATTATCGCGATACAGGGTGTCCGTAAAAACTAGCAGGATCTTTTCGACGAAGGCAGCGTGTCGTAGGGAATTTTCATTGTGTCCCCCTTCCTTCCGTAAAGAAGTGCCGAATATAAATAAATAAATGTGTGTATAAATGTATATCGACGTTTACTTTATAAATAAAACATGTATGGCGAGTTACGAGGAAGAGCGTACGATCCAGGAGAGAAATCGAGAGAACGCGGATCTTCCATCGTTCCAAACCATTTTGTGATTCTGCTTCGAGACTCGAGCTTGTACAACGATAAAACGAAATCATCCGTTGTTCGAAGATTCTTGTCCATCCCTTCCAATCTTTACGATCATGTAATCTTTATTGCCAAACGCTTCTCATTGTCGAGATCTCGCTGCGTTTCCTTTCCGATCGTTTCATTCATTTTTAAAAGACGTTTCACGATAAAATGTATGAATTAGGATTAAGCACAAGGGAAAATGACGAATATCGGTAGGACTTTTACGCTTCTGAATATCAATTAAAAGTGGAAAGATCGGCCATATCACGCGTGGATCGTACGCTCTGCTTGTAACATATATGTACATCTCGTATTGTAAATAATATCATTTCTCCTTCATGTTCGTTCGATTATGACCAACTGCTAATAATTAAATAAACGACTCGAAAAAAAGAGAAGAAAGAAAGATATATGATACCACGGTGAGAAACTATGCAAGATAGTGAGCGTGAGAGCGAGAGAGTAAAAAAACAGAGCGAAAGGGAGATCGAGAGAAAGAAAGAGAGTCACGTGCATTCTTTGTTCTTTCGCGTCCGTTATCCTTCCATCTAATCGGAGAATTAAATAAGTAGAAGAAGCCTGCCTTCGTCGAAGATGGCAACGAAATGTTTTCGAGCAACCTGTGCGACGAAACGAGAAGGCGGACAAGATTAAAGAACAAAAATAAAGAGCGGAAAAGAAATAAAAAAAGGAAATAAATACAAGAAAATATGAAATAAAATAATGCTATGAGCGAGAAAAGAGAGAGACGCATCGATTTGCTCGAGGCACCTATGTAGGTTCGTTTTAAGGCTTGAAGAATTATCTTCAAATGTTATGTATACATGTTAATATTAATAATAATAATAATAATAATAATAATAACAATAATAACAATAACAATAATAATAATAAATAATAATAAATACTAATAATAATACTAATAATAATGATAATAATAATTATGATAATAATAACAACAATAACAATAATAATAGTGCAGGATAATATTTAACAAGATAAAAACCGTGCAACGTGACCACCGTGGAATCCATTGGCCATTTCGAAGAAACGAAACAAAACGGAAAAGATACACGGTATGGAGTGTCGTCGATGATCCAAGACAATGTTACGAAGTCTACTCTATGCACAAAAAGTTGAAAAAGTTTAAAAGCTGTTGTTGCAGAAGACGTTTTTATTATATTGCAGCATACTTATGCACTTCGTTTGCAGAATTTCTACTCGACTGCTTACGTACTTACGTGCCTAGTGTACGACTACTTACAACGTACAGAAGTGCATTTCTAGGATCATTTAAAATACTTGTAACAAGTTTGAATTTATACCCCTTTCAACTCGAAACAGCTACACTCGTGGATTACAAGCTTTCGACATTTTTAGAGAAACATTTTTGTGTATAGAGATGATTTTGACTGAAATGTGTCATCGTTCTTCGTCGGCACTTCGTACACGGTTCCACAGAGGAAACGATATCCTCAAAGTTTACCATTATCAAGTCAACCACTATACACGAAAGAAAGAATCCGATGAAAGGAAGCGCATTCAACGGCATGACTTCTCAGGCAGCTCGAGGAAGTCGTCGATGGTTTCCTTTTCATTTCACTCGTTTACTCTTGTGTTCATCCGTGTTCATCCATCGAACGAACGAACCATTCCAATTTTGGCATTTAGAGTCCATCGAGTCCCTTCCTCCGCGTATATCCGTTTTACTTCTAAAAAAATTCATTCATTTGGAGAAAAAGAAAATGACATGATGGAATAATCAGCTACGAAATCGGACTTCTTCCAAATTCTGTCCTCTGTCAGTGGAAGCAATCGTTTCTTCTTCTTCTTTCTGACAAGATTCTAATGATTCGTTGAAACTACGCGAAGAAGGGGACCAGAAGTTGTTAAACGCGGAATAGCAAGCATTATCGATCGTTGGGGGAGAAGGAGTTTCAGATAGGATTCTTATTCGAATCCGAAATCATAGCGTTTAAATATGGTTAGATTGTGTTTGAAAAAGGAAAGAAAGAAAGAAATATAAAACGCATAACTGTACGTCATGCGATACCTTGACCGTGTGCGTGTTAATTATTAACGACGATTATGATCATGATTATGTTGCTTTCAACATTGTACAGTATCGAATAAAAATTACAGTGCGTGGTCAGAAAAAAAACAGACAGCTGTAGAGAGCAAACGGAAAGAAAAAGAAGTGGAAACTTCCTACGCGACTCTGTTTTGGGTACGATCGTGTTAGGGATGCCTTTTTATCATTTTCTATTTTCCTTTCCTTTCACGTTCGACGAAATTCCACCTCGAAGACACTGTTCTTCTAATAACGAGAAATACGAGGTTCCGAATTTCGATCACGGTCGTGGCCAGAAAAAGTCGACGTTAATCGATTGAAGTTGTCAACCTAGAAAAATATCTCACCGTTAACCACGGAGAAAAGGAACCATTTAGAATCTAATACCTATTTAACTCCAATAGGAGGTAAGAACTCTGAATATACTTTCCTTATTCATTTTCTTTTCTATTCTCGTATACTTCTTTTTACCAAAAACAATTGTCATCTAATCAATTTAATGTGTTTCATTTGTAAATGTATATCGGTGTTCCGAGAAAATCGCGTTTATCATTGTGATTCAAGCGATCTACAAAATTACAAGTCGCAATTAAGATCAATCAACCCTTGCCTGTGTTCAACATACATTTATTACATTCGTCAATCGCCAATAAACAGACAGATACATAACCCCCTTCCTCCTAAATTTCCGTACAATTATTCGAACATAAATGGACATCATTACCATCTAATATCTTATTAAGTTTCCCTTATTGAAGGTTCTAAAGCAAAGTGCTTGTTGGCCTAACTTTAAAAACCGAAGCGAGAAGCTTCTCACGTCGTATCCTCTTAATCTAACAATAAGAAAGACCAAAGTAAACAATACTCGTTACATTGAATTTCCTACTTGCGCTCGTCTTTTTACTAATTTCGTTTTTCCCTAATCTTTAAAAAGATATACAAAATCGATATATAGATCGAAAAATGACGTCCTTCCATCTCTCTACTAATTTCTCAATTTCTGTTTATTCGACGATAACGTATTGATCGGAAATAATTCGTGCGATTCCGTTTTTGCAGCGAAATTCATGCCAGAATCGACACCACCGCCTCCAGCCTTTGCCTACCCACCACCAAATCAGATTCCGGGCCAAGTTGTCGCCGCTGGCGGACCAGCCGCTGCACCAGGAGGTGTAGCCGGCGGAGCAGGCGGTGCAAGCGGATCACAAACCGCTGGTGCAGCGTTAGTTGGCAACTTGAACGGCATTCACAGCGTGATGTAAAAAAGAGATAGAAAAATATACACTTCTCCGTACCGTACCGTATCGCAATAAGAATTTTCCGAGTTAACCTTAAGCGGGCAACGTGAAATCTATTGGCTTGAGAAACCAAGTGAAAGAGCATTTTAAAAAGAAACAGAACATAAAGAGAAGAGAAGAAAAAAGAAAGGAGGTTCCAATCGAGAAACCCGATCGTTAGACGCGTGACCACGTTGAACCGTATCCAAAATTCAGATCCCACAATCAGCACAGGTTTCTTTTCGACCTCTTCAACGAGATAGAAGAAGAATCGAATCTTCACAAGAGTCGGTGAAATAAACGTTTGATCGAGGAACGAACAGCTAACGCGTTAACTGCCGCGATGCAATCCACGAACATGAACAAAACCAATACAATAATCGATTTGCTAAAGGTGTTCTCTGTTTCGATCAAGCAAGCGCCGCCATTTATCCTTTCTGTCGTATTTATCGATCGCAGTGAGTACAATCCAACCGTAAAGCCCGTAAAAGAATCACAAGATAGAGACGCGTGGCGCATACTGTTAGTTCCTTTGTGCAGTTAATGTGTTAAAAAGTACGCTGCTGGAGAATGAAAAATAAAATCGCGAGTTCCATAATAGCTTGTAGGTACAGTCTCCGTCTGTTACTATACACTTCCTGCTCGGTGGTGAGCACTTAGAGTGCCGGTAGGGAAGTTGATCGACCCTCCAGAACGTTTATTTCGTGAAGAAAAGATAGCAATCTGTCTAGGTATAGATTTTTCTGTATATCGTCGTCGACCTCGACAAACTGGAAGATTTAACTCGATTCGCGTAATGGTAATCCTAGCCGAAGAGTTAGTAAGAGGGGAAACGAATGAACAAAATACGGGGGAGGACAATGTTCACGTGTCGGTGGACGAACATGTGTATCTACGTATATACGTGTATATGTACATAAATTATTACGAATTATCGATGTAAGATTGAACTATACATATATATGTGTATATATATATGTGTATATATATATATATATATATATATATATACATACATATAAGCAATGTGACTTATAAATACGTAGTAGATATTGCGACGAAAAAAAAATGACAAGAAAGAAACCGACAGAGAAGCAGAGAGAAAGTGAGAGAGACTGTTAGCCTGATGTTTTATTATTCTTTACTTGGCACTGTTCATAAATGAAGATTAGCAATTGTTGTTCTGAATGGAAATTAATGAATGCATTAAGAAGGATGATTTCCACGTTGATTCGTTTGAACGATTCTTCTTTGTGGATCCTGTTTTCACGGATTCGGGTAATTCATCTTTAGTCCCTATTTACAACCAGCTCTTTATTAACCAGAGATTTCATTGTCTTATGATTTTTAGACTTTATATTGAGTACGCTACTTTTTATGTGTCGACGCGCGACTAGAAGATGGAACGAAAATGATCGAAAGAAAATTTGGCCCATAAATGTCCCCTTTTTCGAAATGATCCATACTTCGTTATAAGTCGTATTAATGAAGATATTTGCCGATTTTTTAAAGATGACTAATCGAATTATCAACAATTGCTTGTAATTCATATTATAATTATATAATTTATTATATCAGAAACGATAGGCTACTGTCGAAAAAGGGAGCATTTGTGGATAGGGATTTGATAAAGATTTTCTATTATTTTTATGTGTGAAATCGCACCTAAGGGAATGCTCACTCTGTTTAGCGACAACCAGTTATCGTAATCCTCTTAATTATAGTATTCAGTGATACAATTTTTTTTTTCTTTACGAAACGGAAATAAAGAAATGTTTCGATGATTAAAAATCGATATCGCGATAGAGATTTCTTTTCTCGAACTAACTGGCAACTTCTTGATATTCTTCTCTTTATTGGCCTAGTCTGATTAATGTTTCATCCAGTTCGTTTATTAAACCTTATCATAAAATATCGTTCAATTTCCATAAATGATTAAGAAAATCGTAGGAAACACGATGATTGATTCTCTCCTTAAACTATGCGACTACGCTTGTATGTGTATCTATGTATGTGCATACACCGTATGTACCGTAACTAGATGTTCCAGAAGAAACGTAATCTTTGTATGTAAGAGATGGTATGGAAGAAATATCTCTTTAAAAACGCTAAAATGCAAAGAATTTGTAAGGGTTGCAATCAATGTTTATCGAAAAGAAACCGTTAGAAGTAAGATCATTCATTTTGCTACACTGTTGAAATATGAACAAGATTTCGAGGTTTAACAATCGTAAAACGTTTCCCCCTTAATTACTGTAAAAATCGATCTCTCGAAGCATACTTTCCTTGCTCAGGATGCAATTAAATAACCAGTCCATTTATCCCTCGATGACCCTCCCTTTATCTCCGAGATGCTTATTACTATGTCCACGAATCGAAGAACAATAGAGAAACGATTATTTAAGATGTTTGTAAGTATGAAGAGAATAATTATACGTATTACTATGTAAGAAGGCTTTATCACATAGGCAGTTTAACGTATTATTACGAGGTATAGAGATACGATTAATATTCGCGATAATTGATTCAGTTGAGCGTCATTCGATTTACTGATCGAGGAATCTATGTTCATCTAGTTTTAGATGTTACTGTATATTAGTCTTAAATAAACACAATTATGGAAAAGATAAAAATATCTGTTTGTAAATGTTTTACTATATTCATCCTACAAATGTATTTTATTACTGTTGAGCTCATTAAATATTGTGATCGAGAGATAAACAACACAATCGAATAAAAAATATTAAGGACAATTTTTTTTTTAGAACATTTATCTAACCTCGGGGTTCCATTTGGAGCTGCTACGTTCATGACAGTGATGAAATGACCGTAGCGCCGCGTAGCGGTAGATTCTTCCATTTGTCGACCATTTGTAAACATGTCTCCAGTAAGTTTCCTCCTCTCCAAAAATATAAAAATAATTCGAAAACGTTTAAAAATTTGCTAAAACTTCGTAGAACATATAAAATAGTGTGCTGTGACCTTTCATCATAATACAATTTTATTTCCATTTTCGAAAAGATTACAAAGATATCGTTGGATATTGTAAACTTCCAACATAGACGTCTATCAGAGGCTAGCACATGTATCCACAACAAGCGTAATTTTTTAATTAAAAGAATTTTAAAATGAGGAATTATATATTTTTCAGCCAACGGCAAAGAAGTCTAAGGGACCGACCATAAAGAAACAGGCCCTTCGGGGTAAGGGTCAAAAGAAAAAGGTATCCCTTAAATTCACTATTGACTGTACTCATCCGGCAGAAGATAACATTATGGATGTAGCCAATTTTGTGAGTTTTCCTTAATTTTGTTCTCTATTTTTCACATTTTACTTCTTTCCTGAAATTCTTCGTATTTTTTTAATTCTAATCTCTATATAAATTTAATTATTCAGTGCGATCTTAATCTTATATTAACTTCACATTATCAGAGATGATGGGAATATTAAAATTGATAATGTTATGTGTAAGTAATGTTGTTCTTTTTTTATAGGAAAAATATCTGCATGAAAGAATTAAGGTTGCAGGGAAGACAAACAATTTTGGTAACAGTGTAACCTTGGAAAGGGATAAGATGAAACTATCTGTTAATAGTGATACTGACTTCTCAAAGCGGTGAGTATCGTCCAGTATTTAAGAAAAATACTTGTAATTTAAAAAACCAACTTTTTATTAACATTAATGATTTGTGGGTTTTGCGTTATATTCTTACAAGATAACTGATATTTGCACTAATTCAATAACATGTCTATATAGATACCTTAAATATTTGACAAAAAAATATTTGAAAAAGAATAAACTGCGTGATTGGCTACGCGTTGTGTCAAAAGATAAAGAAACCTACGAGTTAAGGTACTTCCAAATTAACAGCCAAGAGGATGATGACGAAGAAGATGCAGAATAAAGTTTACTTTAATTCTATATGCAATTACAGAATTATCTGTACATATTTCTACAAATAAATAAAACAAAAAGTTTGTATTGCATTTTTTAAAAAATATAAAATCATACCATTCCTCAATTTCTTCGAAATTAATTTAATTCGACTTTATGAGTGCATTGAAAATCAATTTATTGGAAATGACACTGTAATAAATGCGAAATCGCACGTAACGTATACAATAAATCACGTATTCAATTATCAAAAAGAAAAAAAGAACAAAATTTATCATTACGTATGCGTTATAAATTCTTCATAATGTTGAGAATAAAAGATGCGTCACCAAACGCGTAGTAGTGAAAAACATGTCACTCTTTATTATTAACAGGCTCGTATCTATTTAAGGTTCAACTAGATCCCAGACAATTTGTATACTTTTGTTCACGGAAAATTTTAATTTTTTCATACAATTAATCTCCTAACTGTAATTATAGTCAACGTTAATTCTAAAAGGAAGATACAAATTGTGAAAAGAATAAAAGATATAATTAAACAAATAATGTTACAAGTAATGAAGTTCCGCGAGAAACCGTCTTTTTTTTCAAATACAGATGTTTGTACAAATGAACGAGAAATTTATTCGCAAATTTCGACAGTCGGATAATAAATTAATATAACCGTTTCGTTTTGAATGTATATCAAACGCTATCGTATAAAAGGAAAATTTCGTAGAGACGGTCCTGTTTTATGTATTAAACGGATCATTGAAATCATTCTCTGTCTCACTAAACAGACATTGCGATAACACGTCAGAACTCACACAACTTGAATATACAAATTGCTAAGAGATATCGTCCAATTTCTATATATCTTTCGTCGAGTTTTCCAGTGGAAACCAGGGGACTATTTCACGTCCGCGTAGAGTGGAAAAGCAAATTACAGTGCGCAGTGTAACTGACGCACGGTGATTGTTGTGACAGAAGTGGAGAAGAATATCATCGTATCGTCGTATTTCCAGTTCAGAATCATCGTATGAGTCGATAGGAAAAAGATTTTGATAACCCTAGAGAAGAAACGATTTTATTAAAGTGCACGGGTCTCGTGCAAGCGTGCGAGAACGATGAAGTTTCATTACAAGGAGAAACACTCTTTTGAAAGAAGGAAGGTCGAGGGTGAAAAAATTCGACGAAAATATCCCGAAAGGGTTCCCGTGAGTATCCCTGCTCGAAAAAGTTAACCATTTGGTCAATGGAAACAAATTTATTTCCCTTCTAATACAGAGAGATTGCATCATTTCGAAAAACCATTAATTCATCATGATTAAGATTATTCTTTTACGAGCAACTAGACTACTGTAATTCGTCGCTAATCGATTCGTTCCGTAACCCGAGAATTTCCTGGTCTGAAATGAACCAAGGTCGACTTTCTACGTTGTAAACTCTTTTATTTCGAGACGAAATATTTTTTCGCTCGATCAGGACGCTAACGATTAAATTCACCATTCGTGTCGAATTTCTTTGTGCACTCGCCTTGCAATTGCTCAAGTCTATTGATCGTACTACGCTCTTACTTATAATTTTCAAATGATAAAAATCAAACGAAAGGGAAAGTATTTTCCCCGTTTCGCCGTTTCCCTGAAATTTTTACATGTCGACAAACTTCGTTTACACGCATAGAACGAACATTGAAAATGTAGACCAACTGTTGTTACTTTGAAAACTGGGATAAATGTCAAATTTATGTGATATCAAATATGTATTTAAGAATGGCTTCTTATCTTGACAATGAGCCAAAGTTTGAAACATTTTCCTTTGAGTTTGAAACAAAGTTTGAGATTTTCCTTTTATTAAAATATAACTGAATTTGCAATTAAAATTAATGATTTACGCATTTCATTGTATTATTTCGTAAATGATATTGATAAAAAATTTATATTTCCTAGGTTATCGTTGAGAAGGCTCCAAAAGCTAAAATTAGTGATTTGGATAAACAAAAATATCTAGTACCATCTGATTTGACTGTGGGACAATTTTACTTTTTAATCCGTAAACGAATTCACTTACGTCCAGAAGATGCTCTCTTCTTCTTTGTGAACAACATTATTCCTCCAACAAGTGCTACCATGGGATCTCTTTATGCGGTAATTATATAATTCAAACTTCATTCTAGACATAGATAAACATTTATTACATTTGTAATATTTATATTGTGATTTGTATTTTTCATAGGAACATCATGAAGAAGATTTTTTCCTCTATATAGCATACAGCGATGAGAATGTGTATGGACACTAATTCACAAATATAAAGAAGACAACATCCAAACAAAAGAGCAGACAGAAATTTGCCATCTACAATAACGTAGTCCTTTTAGAAGCTTTTGGAAGTGTTAACAAAATTACATCTTTAAATTATTTTGAATGAAAATTAAAATTCTAGCACTGTATACTAATTTAAGCTTGCTTCCTTAAGATAAATTGGACGCGTTCGTCTGCCAAATATACGAACGTTGTACTTTTTTGATTCCATCACTCACCGCTAATTGAAGAAGTTTAGGAATTCAAGATGTAAAGATCATAGTTATGTTATATGATTTTTTTAATGCATAAAAAATTGAAAAATCATTAAAAACGAAAAACTTTCTTAATGTTAAGAAGAATAATTAACTTCATAATTGTTATAAAAATATATTTACATGCTTTAATAATTATTTAAAAGTTATTAATATTTAGAATGGTCTTATGATAAATTTATAATTCTGTGTAGTTGTTTTATGTGACAAATTTTTCTTATTTAGACTTTCTTATTTAGTATCTTATTTGCATGTTTCATTATAATTTGACCATAAAAAAAAAAAAAAAATTAAAAGAACTTACTGAGCATATGGTGAAGTGAAAATTTGTTATAATAATGAATAATGTAATGTAACAGTAAATTTGTTGGCTGGATGTGGGTCAATAAAAAAATTATAAAAGTAAATTTTGTTAATACATAATTGTTTCCCTATCGAAAAAATTCATCCATTTTGACAGTATGAAAGTACAAATTCACGATATCAGGAGAAAACGATTGAAACCGCAACTCGTTCATAGTTAATATGTTTTCGTCGTGGTTCGTTCATTTTTAACATGTTTTTCTTTGAAGTACTGCATTCTGGGACGATCAAATAGAAAATAACATCTAGTTAATGCCATTCTCTTGGTGAGAGAAGTCTTGAACTAATATGGAAATGGGAAATTATGAAACAAATATTACAAACACTTCAACTGTAAAAAGATATTTGGCTTCTGCATATAATTTGAATCAAGAAGATAGTAATTGGATTGTGACGAATTCCTTTATAATTTTCACTATGCAAACGGGTAAAGTTCTAGATTAAAACACGAGAAATACAAAGATTAATTTTTTGTTTATTCAGGTTTTGGTATGTTAGAATCTGGGTGTGTCTCTTTAAAAAATGAAGTCAACATTATGATGAAGAATGTGGTCGACATAGTACTCGGCGGTTTAACTTATTGGGTATTTGGTTTCGCAACGAGTTTCGGAACAAGCAAGTTTAATAATCCTTTTATTGGCATTGGAGAATTTTTAATAGATCCTTCAATAGAGGACGTATTGATGGGTCCAAAATGTGCTGCATTTTTATTCCAATTAAGCTTTGCAACCACTTCAACAACCATTGTTAGTGGTGCCATGGCTGAACGGTAATTATATAAAATAATCTATAAAGCTTTTTAACTCTAATTGAATATTACATGATTACAGATGCAATTTCAAAGCATACTGTTTATTTTCCTTTTTAAATACAATTGTATACTGCGTACCAGCAGGATGGATATGGGGTGATCAAGGTTTCTTGAAAAAAATGGGTGCTGTTGATATTGCTGGTTCTGGGGTAGTGCATCTTGTTGGTGGTACCTCTGGTAAAGTATTAACATCTTTTGAGATAATTTGTTAATCAATACCTAAGATATTAATTTATAATAGCACTTGCTTGTGCCCTTATGTTGGGACCAAGGGTAGGCAGATATGACAATGGAATTGATCCATTGCCTCTTGGATGTCCAGTCAATGCTATCATGGGCTTATTTGTACTTTGGTAAAATAAATAATTAGTAGTTGCCTATTTACAGATGTAGATTATCAGATATATATTAATATACAAAAATTGTATAAGGTGGGGCTGGTTAGCATTTAACAGTGGTAGCACATATGGTGTCAGTGGACAACGATGGCAATATGCAGCTAAAGCAGCAGTTTGCACTATGCTAGCAAGTATGGGGGGTGGTTTAGTTGGGCTAGGCTTCAGTTTAAATGGCCCAGATAAGATTGACATTCTAAGTCAAATAAATGGCATTCTTGGTTCACTGGTTGCAATTACAGGTGAATTTCAGTACAAGTACTTATAAGTATTCAATAAGATATTTACTACCTTAACAATAACTTTACAAAGTCAGTTAGGTGGCTGTTTCCTTTTCAGAACCTGGGAGGCCATAATTGTCGGAATGATTGGTGCTCTTATCACATGTTTTACCATGCCCCTCTTTGACAAAATGCATATTGATGATCCTGTTGGAGCCAGTGCTACACATGGTTTTAGTTTTCCTTTCTAATTTTACTACTTTATTTTCTATTAATTTCTCATTTTATTGACCAATTTTCCTTTCATGTAGGCGCAAGTGGAATTTGGGGTATTTTTGCTATAGGTTTATTTGCAGATAATCCGTATCCTCTTGATACTACCAGTGGAAGAAAAGGATTATTCAAAGGTTTGCAATCATAAATTTGTCTTATGAAATGATCAAATTCCACAGAGATATTTTTCTGCTTATAGGAGGAGGAGGATATTTGTTAGGCGTGCAATGTTTAGTAATTTTATGCCTAACACTTTGGAGCTTCACAGTATCTATTATTTTGCTATGGGTAAATTGTATCAAATATTATTCAAAATATGTTTTCTTACAAACAAAATCCGTTGTTTAATTTTTGACGTTTTACATTTTTCTAGTTTATAAATAAAATTATACCAATAAGAATGAGTGTTCATGATGAGCTTCTAGGTGCAGATTTAGTAGAACATAGAATACGACACCCACAGGTTTTTATTATAACTATTACATATATACTTCATAGCTAAAAAATTGTATACATTATAAAATTGGTTATGCATAGTAGCATTATATCTTTTAGGTAGGAATAAGTAGAGCCATGTCTGCTCTTCGACCAGCTTCACAAAAGCACGAATTAAATAGCGTACATCCTGTAGGAATTAATCCTGGTAAGATGCATTTGAGTTAAAATATCATTGCTCGATTAATTACGCAAGTTAATTTGCAATAGGTCACGATTCGTACATTCAAAAATATAATCGTAAAAATCGTCTGAAGTATGGAAAACAACTTCTACTTGGGAGAAAGTTATCGAAGAGTCCTAAACTAAGTACGATTACCGATACTACATTGACCAATAAAAATAAGCCGAACCTCGCTTGGATAGATTAGTGTTTCCTAATGCTTACCAACGTTGTATAACGATAGCAGATTTATTAGAAACATATAAATGTATTCACGTACACGTTATAACGCTTTTACACAGTACTGTTACATCATACAATGTACAGGCAATCTATGATAAATAATTAAAATCTTACATAACTACATGAATGAAAATTATAGATGTTATCATATAGGGAACAATCCTGTTGAAAGATCACAGACACTGTAACTACATAGAATAACCTGATTAATAACATGGCACCTAGATAGAAGTCTCTTTTATTATAAGTTTCAGATAAAATATTGTTATGAAAAATTATTTGTTGTCTTCATTTATCAAGGACGTAATATTGGACGTTTTTTATGCTATGATAGGCAGGAATTGCTTTTTGAAGACTGTATTACAGAGATGTATTACATAGACATCAAGAAAATAATATCTAATTGTTTTCACCTTGTTCAATGTTATTAAATATTAAATTTATATATACTCTTATGCTAATCTCATACTACTAAATGCAAACTACCCTTTTGCCATGATAGCATGTGATCTAATTAGATACCATAGTTGTTTTTAGAAAAATCGCTTGATATTTTTTTAATAGTAAATACACTAGTATGCATAGTTTCTTATATATGTAAAAACATATACTTTTGAAATGAATACATATGTAAGACACTTACACAAAATATTGCATAAGAAACAAACTGCTGCTTCTTTAAAATAAATAATTATAGTAAAAAAAAATGTGTTTTAAAAAATACAAATCTCATACTTATTCTATAAAATACTCATTTGTTGGTTAAAATTGCAAATGAGTGATGCATTACAAATGCAAAATTCTTTAGCAGCTGCAATTTTATAAATAATCCATAATGATTACATGTTAGTTACTGCCCATTGACATATCTCTGTTGGTAATCCAGAATAATTTTTTACAGCTTCTATAACTTGTTGTGAGGTGAGTACGAATTTATAATATTGATACTCTTTCTCAACTTTTGAATTCATACCACTCACTGGCAATAAAAACTCCAAATTCTGTGAAAATATGCATGGTTTTGAAAATGATAAGCTACTTGGATAATACAAGAACAACATTGTTTTACTCCTATTTTGTTATTACAACCCTTACCTTAATATGTTCAAATGCTTTCATAATAACAGGCCTTTGAACAGTTTGTATAGAAGAATTTTGATTAGCAAATTTTATATAACGATTATAAATTGCTTCAAAATTAAATGGCTCTCCATCATAAATTTCTGTTTCATGTTTCATTGAAATTATCTAGAATAATAGCATGTTTGTCAAAAATACATCCTATACCAAGGAGGCGAGCAATAAATACACTTACTAAACACATTTCTAATACAGACAACCCCTCAAGCATTAGTACTTTGTCATCTTGAGAAAACATCTTACTTGCTTCTACAAAATCATTTACATCTAGTCTTTGATGCTTCTCTGACAATGTAGAAACAGCTATTGCTAAAAAGTTTCTAAAACTTCTTTCACTAACATCAATTTGGTACAGTCTTTTTAACAGATTCACCATAGTAGTATTACTAACTAAACTTTTTATGTATTCATTCCACACAGATCCAAACTGTGGATCTATTGTACAATCTTCATATTGATATTCTATCCTATTTACATTCTCATCATCAGGAAGACTTAAAAGATGTTGAAAAAGTTCTAAACGATCATCAAAAGCAGATGTTGGTTGTTCTGAAGATGATATGTCTCCAGGGAACAAAAATATTTGCCGATGAGAAAATCTTGATTTAACTCTTTTTTCTAAGAGTTCTATAACATCTAATCTACAAGTCATTCCAATTACACATATGGGTGCCTGAAGAGATGAACATTCAATTGATATTCAACTCAATCCTAAATCAATACAAAACTCTACTTTACACTTACTTGTGCAGATTGAGCAATATCAAACAAGTTATACAACAGAGTTTGATTGTGGTGTTGGCAAAACAAGTCAAACTCATCTAGTATGAAAACAACTGGTTTAGAACGTTTCTTATCACCTGATTTTAAGCAATCAAGCAGAAAAGTTAAATTTTCAGCAAATGAGCCAAAAACTTTATCACCAACCACATTTTCTAATTGCATTTGACGTGTAGCATCTTTCAAAGCCAACCGATCATCAGTATGAACAAGACCATGAAGATTCACTATCAATGCATTCTCTTTAAAACTTTTTACATACGACAATTCTTTTAAAATACTGTTTATCAACTATAAAAAAGTAAAGATCTATATAAAGGAAATACTAAAAAGTGATGATTCTCTAATGAGATTAATAATAGAAAACATACTGTTGTTTTTCCACTACCCCTAGGTCCAATCAACAAAGCAGAATTACTTTCACCCATATCCACTGTTCTTTTTAACAGCTCTAATATATGCATTCTTTCTTTAACGTGATGCCTGAACTTTGTTTCAGGACACATAATCTTACGTTTTAAATATTTCCTGGTTAACAATATCATATTGTCTTGAAAATCAATTGCCATATTTTTTTTCTTATTCATATTAGTTTCTCTAAAACGCGCTAAAAATTTACAGTTAATTTTTAGTTAAATTTCTTTTTCTATAAATTAAGTTATGATGAAACAACAAGTTCCTATTTATGTTATCCATGAAATTATTTTATTCATAATTTCATTTATATTACAGTTTCGTATAGATTTGAGGTAGATTTTGACAATCTACGGCATCTCTGATTAGCCAAATATAACCTATTAATTTTTTAGCGAAAGATATGTACAATACCTTCAGAACGTATTTATTCAAGGATTGAACTCAGTTAAATAAACTCGTTATCGACTGGTCAAACTGAGAATCGAAATAGTATTTTCACAAATTTTTAAAATATTCGTAAAATATTAAATCTTGAAATTATAGAGACACTTGGACGAAGTTGTTTACAAAACAAATATGGAAGACGCAGAATCTACAACAGACAAGAAAAACTGCACGTTTTTATTTAAAAGGAGAAAAATTCGGAGCACTGCAGCTAGAAAACGGAAAACAGCGAATGATGAAGATGGTAAGTACGTTTAAAGAACATCAGATTTTTGTACTAGCGTCCCAATAGATTGTAATTTCATTATATAAACTCGATTAGTATTATCTATAGGTTATGTTCAGTACCCATAAATAATAACATATTTTTCTTAATTTTTAAATAGAGAGTAGCGAAGATGAAACTACAGTGGTCAAAAAGGAAAAGAAACAGGATGATAATAATCCTATGAAACAAAGTGTAAATATTAGATAGAATCATGTAATGGTTGCTTTCAATTATTAGATAAATTATAATGTGCAATGAAATTCAAGTGTTAACAAAAATGGGAACTTGTTGTAAATATAGCATTTTACAGACTAATACGAAGAAATTAAAGGACCAACGGCATATTGATAACAATAGTAGCGATGATGAAAGCGTTACAGTGTCTTACAAGAGTTCTAAAACTCCTATGCCAGCAGGACCAAGCGATCAAGGAGCAACAGCAATCTTAGAAACAGAAACAGAGAAGGACAAAGATGCTCAAGCTCTGTTTGAGAAAGCTCAGAAAATAAATGAAGTAAATAGAAAAATACAATACAAAAATATCCAAGGGTAGAACAATATCATAGAAGACAATCTGTCTGTTTTAGGAATTGGAAGGAAAAGAGGATGATAAGATTTATAGAGGCTTGAATAATTATGCTCAATATTATAAGAAGAAAGATACAGCTGCTGGAAATGCTTCCAGTGGTATGGTTCGCAAAGGACCAATCAGAGCACCATCTAATCTTAGAGCAACTGTTAGGTGGGATTATCAGCCAGACATATGTAAAGATTATAAAGAAACTGGTTTTTGTGGTTTTGGAGGTAAACAGACCGAAAATCTTTGCTATTAAAACATCTATTATTTACTCTATTATGTACTTATTTCATTCCATTTCAATTTCAGATAGCTGTAAATTTCTTCATGACCGGTCGGATTACAAATTAGGTTGGCAGCTAGAAAGAGAAGCTGCCACAGGAGAATATAATAATAGCGGTGACGAAGATGATAAAAAATACGAAATCGACAGCGACGAAGAAACGTTACCGTTCAAATGTTTTATTTGCCGAAGTAGTTTTACAGACCCCATCGTTACAAAGTATATATCAAAATTCTATCTTCTAAACCAGTTAGATGTAGAATGTGTGAAACGAATTTTCCTTTCAGATGCAAACATTATTTCTGCGAGAAATGTGCTTTAGAACACTACAAGAAAAGTACAAGGTGTTACATATGCAATGTACAGACGAACGGCGTATTCAATCCAGCCAAGGAGCTAATCACACGGACGAAGATGGAAGAGAAAGCAAAATCTGTTGAGGACGATGAAATATCTGATGATTAATAAAATATATATTTTTTGACATAGTAGTATATATTTCTTACCGAGTGATTGCAATTTTTTATGTATAAATTATAAGCGAAAAAGGATTGATCTATACATATATATATATATACATATATATATATATATATATATATATATATATATATATATATATATATATATATATATATATATATATATATATATATATATATATATATATATATATATATATATATATATATATATATATATATATATATATATATATATATATATATATATATATATATATATATATATATATATATATATATATATATATATATATATATATATATATATATATATATATATATATATATATATATATATATATATATATATATATATATATATATATATATATATATATATATATATATATATATATATATATATATATATATATATATATATATATATATATATATATATATATATATATATATATATATATATATATATATATATATATATATATATATATATATATATATATATATATATATATATATATGCCATACTCAGCTAAAAAAATTTTGTTTCTGTTTAATTTTAAACCCATTCATGAAAAATAATATACTTGAACATCCATGCTTTAAAAAATAATATGTTTCAATATTTTAATCATAACTGGAGGAAAAAATTGAAAGAAATATATTTATATAAACATAGATGGATAGTAGATAGGTCGACAACCCTTGCTAGTAAAGGGTCTAGATTTGGAAGACCTCAGTGTATGAGCCATTCCACAAACACTCGTCGAGTTGACGTCGAACAAGAATCGAGGGGAGGTATAGTGGTGGTTTCGCTATATAGAGCGAAGGTGATTCTAGCTGCTCGTAGTTGTTCCCTCAATCGATACACGCGCAGTGTTGTTTGTCTCATACTGTGGAAATGTTACCGAAGCTACTTGTTTTTTACGGGCATCGAAGAAACGTCTAACACCAGGATGCAAATATTACGAAACCATTCTAACGGGATATTAAACGGGATATTAAAGTTGTAAAACGAATCGTTATCGCGAGAAAGGTTCGAGGGGTTCTCGTATCAGCGACTTGCCGTCCTATCATTGATTTCTAAGACATAAACGTCGCGCGCAAAAAAACGGAGGTTTTTAACGTAACATGATTTTTTTATAAATTCACAAACATAATATAAAAGTGTGGATTTTTCATAATTAATTATAGATTCAAAAGATTAAATTAACGTGAATTTTTTCCTGTGGAAGAAATAGAGCTAATATCAGTGGCCGAGGCAATGCTACATTAATCAAATACTACCAGATTGTAATTGAATTACAGTCAGTCGAATTCGTGCAAGTGATCCATTTTGAACTAAATGAAACTCGAATTAGACACTAATATTATTTCAACCACCGTTTGGTATCAAGACGTTCCTAGGACACATCATCGTACTATACAGTGATACGAACATGACGAGGAATCGTACTTTACACGCATAATGTTGTGGTATACGCGGTAAACAGCTGTTGTCACAGTTTCTTCAGAGACAACTGATACAAAAATACCGATAGCGGCTTCCATTTCAAACCTACGAATATTTTATCGTGCAACCGTGAAGCGAGTGTATATCGCAGGTCCATCGTCTTTAACGAATGAACAATTGGTTTGATCTTATGTAAAATCGATAAGTGGACGATCAACGACCAATGTTTTGGATTCAATGTCATCCGTGTTAATTGTCGTTGCACAGCGGTTAGAAAATCGAGTGATGGAGAAACTAGCCGGTAAAAGGAACGTGCGGAAGGAGTTAAATTTCGCGGAAATCTTCTATTAACCAGGTAATACGACAAAGAGTGCTACACCGTTGAAATGAGTTATTTTAATGTACGAACACCTAGTCGGGTTCTCATTGAAATTTACATACGTAGACATGCATGACAAAAAATATACATCGCGAATTCTGTACACTGTACACGTACAGTGAGTTACAAAATTATTCGAGAATGTTACAAAAGTGTAGAAAATAATAAGAAAACAAAAGAGATTTCAATACTTGGGCATACATAATACGTTTCCTTATTTGGAAATATAGTAATTTGACTCTGATTGTGAGACAACAAACAGAGGAACGTGTTATAATAATTTTATACCTATTTCCACGTCGTAAAATCGTTGGTACGCTTTATAAAAGTTATTACTCTGATAAAATGAATGTTTGCTAAAATACACTTTTTGTCTTAGAACTTCACCGTTTTTTTTTTCTATTTAGTATTGATCTTACTATTGTTTCCTAAATAATCATCTCTGATCTCATTTGAGTAAACAAAAAAAATTGGTAGTGTTTAAATTCCTAAAACGAGAAATTATGCATAACAATAAGACTTTTGTCACACATTGTGTGAAGATATCGTGTTTATGTCAGAAACGTATAATTGGGTCTAAAATGACCGAAAGAAACACAGTGGAATGAAATATCAAACCTATTACACCATTTCTCAGTTCTCAATCATTCTTAAATATAATGCTTCAGGTAGACTATTTACTAATTTGTGATAATCATAACAATAATTTTCCCACTATTCTGGATTTGTGCGAGTAAATTTCTGACTCGCTGTATCCCCTAATCACCAATTAAATACGATTACTGTCGACATATTTATCTCTGTGCGTATCATGGCAATTTATGTATGTTGCGCACGGACGACGACGTATCCATGCGAATATTAAAGCAAACCGAGTAGGGTGCTTACAGCAGTCAGAGACTGGCCGCGCGATATCCGACGAGATTCGCGAAATTTTCTGTCATGCGTCATAAGTGCTACAGAAATTCAACGAGTGCTGGTTGGAATACGTCGCCAGACGGCCACGGCTTCTGTTTCCTATCCGTTGGGAACCAACACGATATTCGCGTAATCGTAACAATCGATCTCACACTGCTAGAATTCGTGTTAGGAAACATTTGGATGACATTAGTCCGTTCAGCAGAAAATATATGCGTATGTACGTGTGCATGTCATGTAACAAAGGGGCTTACGATCTAATCTAGGATTTCAAAAAAGAGAAGGAGCTTCTCCATATTTTCTTCATCGGTGAGGGAATCGAACGTTTCATTTAACAAAGTTTTACATTTTTCTTTTAGAGGCCAATTAGAAGCGAATGTTTTTAGAAATATGCCAGAGAAAAATTGCATTTTTATTAATTATTCATCTTAGAAATATTCGTTTTCAAAGAGGTTTTCGAAGAAGAAGTAATTCGTTGAATTTAAAATTAGTTTTAACAAAGACAAATACACTTGTCGTTTAGTTACTTAATAACTAATAGCTTGTGAAGAATCTTGTTTCGCATTATGAATCTTGGAGGAGCTTGTTTCATAAAGAATATATCAAAATTTAAAAGCTGTTTTACCGAGCGCAAATACATTTATCGTTTAATTAATAAATAATTAATGGCCTGTGGGGAAAATTGTTTACTAATTGTTGGTGGTAGAAATAAATTGTTTCGGATGGTTTTGTAATACACTTACGTTTAAAATCAGTTTTACCGAAGACAAATACATCGATCGTTGATTGATTATTTATTAAAGTACAGTATTAAGCACACGCAACAGAACATAAAGGAATTAAAAGAAGAATTTTCAGATGTGTCTCTTAATTTGTTTGAAATCCTTGTATCTGTTTCGTTTTTATGCTATTCACACACGGTATGTAAATTGAACGTACGTATAGATAGATATGGCTTGTTTTATCATGAAAGTGTTGACAAATATTTACCTTTCTCGAACATTTCGTAATTTGATTGACAAGTAGTGTTCGTTAACTTCCTACTGCATCGAACGTTTTATTACATAGAATTTCGTAATAGGAATATTTTCTCGTGATAATTGTGACCTGCTAGATGTTTAATAAGCACCAAACATACGGTATCAAAGGTATAAAAGAATGCTATTATCTGATAAATTTCGAACGATTAAGTATAGGAGAACGAACAAATATCGCGTGTATTATACATATTCCGTATTCTCATTGACGTTTATTACGTGATTATTCCATGTCTGAACACGATGTAGCACGATCAACGAAAATTATAAATTTATGTCCTATGTAAGTTTCAACGATGGGAGTTATAGACGATTAGATCTATATACGCGTATGAATATTTCAACTGTCTCGATTTGTAGAACCACTAAAAATAATTCAGTTGGAAAATGATATAAATGTAGCTATAAATGTAACGTGTGATTTTTTTAATTCCACATGGTATTATCGAGCTTTGATTTTAATATCGTAGTTGTACGAAAGGAAATTCCAAAGTTTTTAACAACATTTTCTTCTACTTCAGTGAAATGAAGTACTAAAAGTACTCAATTATGGAACATCTTTTCATATCTAAAGTATCTGATTCTACAAAATGATATTTAATTACACGTCGTTGCTATAAATTAAGTTACCTTGTTTACATTTTTCACGTTACTTAATTTTAATTTTAGTTAGTTTAATTTACTTAGTTTTAATTTTTTAATTATTTAATTCTCCACAATGTTCGATCCTTCGTTCGTTCGTCACTTATAGGATTACCTTCTTTTTTAAATCCCTCAACTATACTAAAATCAAAAATACGTATTGATATTCCATACATTCAAATTTCTACACTCGCAGATTTTGCCAAATGTTTCCCACTTTTTGTTTCTATCAATTAATCATCTATCGGCGAGGAAAGTGAATGAAAATAAGAGAAGGAGAAGTAAACGCGTGGTAGGGGAGATATATCGCTGTGCTGGAAAAAGGAGATAAGGGGAAAAAAGCGAGAAAAATGTCAAAGAAGAGATACAAAAGGTTGCGGAAACGTAGACTCCATTATAGTTAACAATGCCCACCTCGTCGACGTTGATGCAAGGTTGACATGTGTAGTTGTGTATATTTAAATAAAGCTACGTGCAGTGCAGACCCTATCAGCGAGCGTTATTCGTAGGCGTGCATCTGATCGACTTGTATGAGTGAACACGAATCGATAAATTAGCGTGTCGACGTATGTGTTTGATGACACGTTCCGAACCCGTCTAACCGTGATAATAAATGCCTACGAAAAATGCATGCTTCGATGCCGACCTTTAATGACGTCGTCATCATTGACGCAGGATCAACGTTATTACGTATAAATAAGATTTTTCTAACGTCTTCGAAAGCCTTTCTTTACGTCAGACGAACATCCTTTTAGCATTATGAAACTGTGAAAGTTGTAGTATCTCATTCCTGTATGCATTAACGTGTTTTTCAGAAGAAAGAGGAGGTCCTCCATATTCTATAGAATTGTTAATAATTAATTTTAAAAAGAACACCAGGACAACTATTTTCGACTTTAATACTAGTACTAATATGTAGTGATTTTTCGTAGTAATTTTATAGATTTACGACAATAATTTTTAAGGACTTTTCATGATATTTATTAAGTATATAGGTAAATGTGTTTCCCTTGCGTTATTTGTATTTTTCCATGCAGACTTGTGGTCATAAGTATTAGGATACCTATTGTTTAAATTCATTGAAAATGAAATTGAAAAATTCAACGAGTGAAAAGCATTCAATTATTACTAAACACCAATAGGTGTTCTAATGCAGTTCTAACAGCGTTCATTTCATTATAACCTTTTGGTACAAGTTTTATTCTTTAGTCGCTGATAGATCTAATGTTAATGGTAATCTAGATTAACTGCTAATGTCTATGCATTTACAGAAAACTTTCAATGCAAAATGTATAGAATGCACATAACATATAAAAATATCTAAAACATAGTATTTATCTGAAATTTTCTGCTTAAATTCCATTTCTTCATTTATGTTTATAAATACCGAAATCAGTCGAAAGTAATCTAAAAACTTGTAATAAATGCTATAATAAATTCATACGTTTGTTGTTGTTTACGTGAAGTAATAGGCCGTTGACGATGTTGCAGATGGTTTGTGGCAGTGATGCCCTCGTCGGAGGAGGAAAGCCAGTGGCTCGTTGGCAGCGGGGGTGGACCCGCATCTTCCAGCGGTGGCACGATATCCGGAACTGGAGAACGCACGTTGACCAGTAGAGGAGGATTATACACTGAGGAGATGACGTCTCAATCGACGAATACTAACACCGCAGGTGCGAACGCGGGTTCAGCCGATTCCGCTGAGCATGATCTCATTGACTCAACCACCGATGCAACGCTTTTAGCACAGTTTCACGAAGACGCTATCAAACAGGTATATACGATTTTACTTCCACTTTTTCTCATTTACATTACTTTGAATAATTCGTTGTTCGAACATTGTGAACTTATCCTTTAACGTTTATCGAATCAGATTTATGTTAACCGTATTTTTTCATGATTAATATCGATCTTGTTTCGATATTATCGTAAAGTCCTTGAAGGAAATATAACAATTCGAGAATCATAGTTGGATAATAGCGTCTATGTTGAAATGAAAAATCGAAATCATTTCGAGTGAACGTTATGTTGATTATACAATTTCTTATTAATTTTCGTTTTAAAGCCTTCTTTCTCGAGAAAGAAGAATCTATGATAGATAAGTTGCATCACTGATTCATAATCTTAGAGTGTCTATCTCCAATTACAAGACATTTAATGCAATTTTCTTCGTACAATATTAAATTAGCGCTGTATTCACACTTCACTTCACGTATTAACGATAGCAAGCAATCTTATCCATATTGTAAGCGATAGAATTAATAAAAAATCACGAAGTTCGAAGAGTTTCGCCACCATTGCTCTGGAAACTTCTACGTAACTAAAATTTGAATTACAATCGTAAGCATATTGCGATTATCGAAAGATATCGAAGCATCGATTATCGATTAATCAATTTTTAGAATATTTTTTCCAAAGTACGAAGCGTAGTTACAGGCCAATGAGCTCATACAAATTTGAAATCTGTATGTACATTGGCTGCTGCATCTTTTTCGACATATCGAAATAAAATATTAAACTTTGGTTAATCGAACAACAAAAACATAACCTATAGTAAATGGCGTCCTTTTTAGCCAAGTTAATTTCTTTAGCTGTTTAATTACCCTTTCACTGCCAGTGTTTAAAACTTTTTTAGAGTTTCAACATGGATGAAGTTTTAGATGAATCGATTGTAAAGACAAAATATGAGTCGAAAGAGATACCGGGCTATCTGAATGATTTCCCAGTAAATACATTTGTTTTCCATAATTTATTTGGAGGTTACACCTATATTTTAATCAATTGTAGATATTTCAATTTATATATTATTTATGTTATTCAAATGAATTTAATAAACAATAGTACAAAATAACTGCCTATTTATTGTATTGTACATTGTTTAGTAATATTTATATATTGTTATTTGTGTCATTCCTGTATAATTAACTACTAAAATGTTAATTGTTTTTCAGGCTGGTGTTGGTTACTTCCAAGTATTGGCTGCTCTGTGCACAGGCTTGAGTCTTGCAGCAGATACTGTAGAATTTTTTGTTGTACCATATATTTTGCCAAGTGCAGAGGTTGAACTATGTATTGAAGATAATGAAAAAGGATGGCTCAGTTAGTTTTTATTTTTACCCCTTCTTACAATATATGTGCTTCTAGATAAATATCCTCGCATCTTTTTATTTTAGGCAATATTACATTAATGGGCCTTGCATTAGGAGGATTATTTTGGGGTGGCTTAGGAGACAGGATTGGTAGACGCAGATCTTTATTGTCTGCAATGTCTGTTCATGCTTTATTTAGTGGTGTAGCCACTTTTATGCCAACTTATGGAACATTTATGTGTGCTAGATTTTGTTCCGCAATTGGGTAAGGAATTCCTATCTTTTTTTTTTTTTATTTAGGTGCACTTTAAGATTATTTGAAATGAACTGTATATCTTATTTCATTACAGAGTAGGGGGATCTTTACCACTAGCATTTGCATATCTAGCAGAATGTTGTCCAAGATTAAGCAGGAGTAGATGGATTGGCTTATTAGTGGCAGCAGGAGCACTGGGAGGTGTATATGCAGCTCTTCTAGCATGGGCAGTGGTTCCTACAACTGGAGAAATGGTAGTTCTTGAAAACAAAGAACACTTCAGTGCTTGGCATCGCTTCCTTTTACTTTGTTGTTTACCCGCATTATGCTCTACTATCGGGCTCATTTTCCTACCAGAAAGTACGAGATATTTGGTAGAAGCAGGCAGAGATGTAGAAGCAATGATGGTTTACCAGGTATTTTTTTATATCTATGTATAAAATAGGTATATGTAATAAGAGATAAGCAATGTAATAAGATAAAAAAGTTGATTGAAACTGATGCATTTTTTTAGAAAATATACAAAAAGAATACCACGCGGAAAGGTGCAACAGGTGCACAATATCAACTTTCTGAATTAGAGCTTCCAACTAAAAGGCCTCGTGGTTTGGCACCTCCATCTCCTACTAATCATACTAGTGTTTTGGCTGATATAATTTATTCTATTGAAGTGGTATGAATATCTGTATATTTTTTTATCTTACATCTTTGGAAACTAATATTAATTTTTATTGAATTTCTAGTTTTGGAATTCCTTCCTGGAATTATTTGTATCACCTCATTTGCGCGTCACGATAGTGCTTATAATTATTTGGTCAACTGTATCATTCGGGTATGTATTTTCATTAAACATGTCAGTAATTGTTTGTTTTATAATATTGTAGTATCGTAAATACTGCTGTTAATTCGTTTATCATCCCCTAGCAACCCCCTTGTCTTTTGTCTTAGCCTCATATCTCTTGTCTTAACCCCTCTACGCACATGCTCAGCAACCGCTTGTTTATAATTCGCACCTCAGCAACCACTTGTTTACAATATCATACTACGATACTACAATGTCGTGATTACTTTAGACTATATGGCCTTATGGTGTGGTGCCCTGAGTATCTCAAACTTATACGCGCCACGGAATATAAAGCTCACACAATAAAAATTTTCGGGAAAGAATATAAAAATCAAACATTCAATGGCTCTTTAGAGAATTGTCAATACAAAGATTCGACATTTTTAAATTGCAAGTAAGTAGTTATGAAAAAAGTTTGTGAAATAATACTGAACTAAATTGTATATGAGCATTTGTGTTTCAGATTCACGAAAATGGTATTCAGTCATGTAGATTTCGATAACTGTACTTTTCAATCTGTAGAATTCAGTAGCATAAAGTCTAGTAAAACTCATTTTACAGACAGTGTTATTGTACACTCGAAGTATGTATTCAGAATGTTACTATTTAACAACAGTACTCCTTTCTTGATATAAAATAATGATTGTCTATGGCTTTTAGATTTGTAGATACAGATCTATCCGCACAAGTCTTTACGAGATGTAAGTTGGAAAATAATACGGAATTAAGTTTAAGCGGTCCCTGCCCGACTCTCGATTTGGATTATAACATTTACATAGAAGAAGCTTTACATGGTCATCTCGTTGCTCAATTGGCCTTCGTGCCTGCTGCTGTTTTAGCAGGATTAGCACTCACTGTGCTTGAACGGCCAAAAATGATTGGTATTTCATTATTCCTCTCATCAGTAGCTACTCTGTGTTTAATTCTAGTGGGCACAAATAGTTCTGCAGTGCTTGGCTTCGAAGGTGGTTTTATGGCAGTGTTTGCTATTGCTTGGACGTCTCTTACCTTGGTTACAGTTGAGAGCTTCCCTACTCATTTAAGGTAAATTTCGTTTTGATTATTATTTCATTCAAATAAAATATATATTTAAATAAAAAATGAACTAATAGTAAGATATATCGATTTTATAGGTGTACTGGTTTCGGTTTTATAGCAGGTGTTATAAGGCTATGTGGTTTAATAGGAACTACATCTTATAAAACTTTAGTTGGCGCACCTCTAGTTGCGCCTGCACTGTTAACTGCATTACCGTTATTAGTAGCTAGTGTCGCAACATTCAAATTGCCTCACACCCATACAGTTTTTTTATAAGGATTGCGAGTAAGTGCGAAAAACGCAGATGCCGTATAAAAGACGTTTTTAATTTGTATTTTAATGGATCACTTGTGAACTGCGCTAATGTTTTTATTCAATATTTTCACATGATACGGAAAATCTCGTGATTCGTTATGAAATCCAAAAGTTCGGTTTCTATCAGAAACGCTTGGACGAAAATTATATAAGGTGAAACGTCCTGGACAAGTGCAAACTTTTGAATTTGCAAATTTAACAACTAATGCTTTTCTTTCGAAGTGCGCCTTCGTACAAAGTGACATATCCTAAACTAGTAAATGGATCGATAAATCGTGGTTTACACAAATATTTGAGTATTTAAAGCGCACAGATGTTAAAGAGTAGCCGTCTCGTATGCTAGGATATGGACTTTCTACAAGATTTTAATACATGTGTTTTAAGCGATGACAAAGGTTATTGTTATAGCAGAAAGATCTTAGGAAAAAAGACAAAGGACGTACGGAGATTTAATATTTAAATCATGTTACATGAAACCTCATGTAGATCTTGTATTCCGAGATTTCACTCCATCTAATTTCAAAGCCATTATACGACTCATTTTCTATAGAAAAGAAGTCGTAAGATGCACATATGTTTATAAAGCTATTTTAATAAGGCAATAGCCATGAAACGTGTCAATTGTAATGGATGTTAAGAGTGGAAGTTGTCATCCATACTGATACGTCAACACATAACAAGAAAATTAAACACTAAATAATTTTGCTTACTAAAAATGCATTTGAATATTCAGAATAGAAAAATATGGAATGTTATTCATAGTGCATAGATCTTACTTTTGTTTATAATTAGATTAGAGAGATTATGCATGATCCCAAAATTATTACATTCTAAGCAATTCGATCGAGAAAGTTTGCCAAGGACAGTATCGTGGAAATTTTTATATTTACTATTGCTGTATACGCTTTTGCCATTTGAGAAATTAAATATATATGTATACATATATATTCTAAGGAGGTAGATAGGGAACCTCGAATTAAATAATATTAAATTCTTTCTACTGTAAAGGGAAAATAATCGAAGAAAGACATATTCGGTACTTTTGCTTTTCAACAAGATCAAGCAGCTTACATTCACTCTAGACGCTAGACTCGGCTAAGAGGCATTATCCATGTAATTCATGTAAATGCTGCCGTTCGAATCTTAAATTCCCTCAAACTGAAGACTTTGAACTCGAGAGATAGAAGCTTTAGCTTCGTTTATTATAAATCCGAGAGATTATCGCCTCTAGTCAACTTTTAATCATCTTTAAGCTTACAAAATACGAATAAACTATAAAAAGAAAAATGCGTCAATCTTTCTAACACTTGTAACCGAAGTAGATGACATTATTTTCTACAAAATCATGAATGTACACTGATATCATCTTAATTGTAAAGATCGCTAATTACATTTTGCAAATACTTGGCTAGAATTTTACTGTCATTGCGGGAGAACGACCGTGATGACATGCCAAAGCTGAAAAAAATACTGGTTCCTCAGAACGGATAACTATTTTTAGGCAATAAGAACATAAAATAAGTTTTACTGAGATATCTCAATCTTATCGAAACTTAAAATATATTACTAAATATTTAAGGAAGTTTATTAGTGAGATAAATACAAACTGCTGTTGGCAAACTTAATCATATAAAAATCTACGTCCCATCATGGTTAGTGAATTTTTCATATCAAATTGTTGGCATCTAATTTAAAAACACCAAAAAAAAGATGTTAATGTTATGAAGCGCTATAGCTATATCGTCATTTAACAAGAAGTAGAAACGTGCGCAAATTAAAATTGTTTTATTACTCGCACAAGTTTTCGTATAACAATTCTATCTTTTATCACGAAGCAACAACGTGGTAATTTTAGTGTCTACAAGTACTGCTGCTCGTTCCTACTTCTGCAAATTGTATTTGTGAACTTGACAGTGAAACAAGCCTGTGCTGGCATTGCAGTGCATAAAATTAATTACTCGTATGAATAGAATAATTTTTTGCATTTGAAACAGTAGACTTATGTTCATAGAATTAAATGTTTTTAACGTCTTTGATTTTGAGGCGATATAATATCAAAGTTAGTAGATTTGTAACTGGTTATCATAGAAGGTTTCCAAAGAAATCTTTGTTAAAAAAGCTTGCCAGCACATACGGTTTCATATGATTAAATCTATACTGCTACACTATTAAATTCATCATCGCCCGTAGATAATATATTTTAATCGACATATCACTTATGAACGAGCACTTTAGATTCGTAGGCTTTAATTAGACTATCAACTAAACGTATTTAGAAATGTGTACCAGGAATCGTAATGATGAAATTTCAAGTCGGTAAAATAGCGGTATACGTATACAAGGAAACTGCTAAATAGTCATTGAAAGTTGAGGATTTCTTTTAGCGAATACGATTGATTATCAGTACACGGATTGATTATCAGCGGATCGAACAATGTAATTGCGTTAGATTGTGTTTTAACATGGAAAATACTCGTGAAAGTTATTCGAGTGATATTTAGTGCAATGTTGTATCGTTAAGTATAATTATTATTTTTATCTTGTTGGATAACTGCACAAGCATGAGCGAATGTTTTCCTTATTTTATTATATATGGAGAACTGACTTTGTGAAAAATTAATTAGTAAGATATCCAGTCTTTTAATTACTGCATTACATTATGCAGAGATATTATATCATCAGTGTACAGTGTTTTCTTCTGTACTCGGTAGTATATTTTACAGTAGATATTTTATCCCCTTATTTTATTTTATACAGACTGAAAATAAGGATCAGTTGATAATCGCCGTATCTTTTGTTTGTTTTTACAACATAGACTGTTTTTTAACCTTTAAATGTGTAATATTTAATTAATTAGAAAGACATAAATATATCGTCCAGTGATAGAAAGGAAGACATTCAAATTCTTCAAGACTTAATTCTGGTTGCGCTTTCTATCAATTTCTACGACATTTTAATAAGCACTTGATTTTGTTTCAGAATAAAACAATTGCAATCTTTATTTTCACTTTCCAAAAAAGACATTCATCGTACTAAATTGCAAATTATAATATTTATATGTAGCATTTTTAATCTATACCTGTTTTGCATAACTCATTAATGTTTTCACAATTGGTTTGTTGGTCGCATATGAACAATTTCAGTCATTATTATGAATGAAAGATAATATCCATCAAATTATGCAACCAGTACTTAAAAAAAGTAAATTACAATACACTATTTGCTAACACCTTGACTCATTAAGAAATATTAATTTGAAACAGTAGCGAGAGTATTACGTGCTAGAACATCTGTTTGAACACTTATATAGAACATTCAGTCGATTTAATAGAGACTGTTAATTATAAGATAGACTCAAAATAATGAAGTAACTTTCCCCTTAAACATTTGAGCAATTGCATTAAAAATTTATTCTTTTTCTATGCTTTAGTACATTCACAAAACAGAAACAATTCTTTCCTTTTTTAGTATGAGTAAAAGTATTTAATCTTTTGTATACGAAACATTGTAATATTCGAATTGCTGTTTTTGGAAATTACACGAACCTAAGTTGGAGAAGTCATTTGCATATTTTTTAAAGACATTTCTGATAGTTTCTGCGACAGTGGCTGCGATTTTTTGAGTAGCTTTTTTTCGAGGGATCCAACAACAGAATGTAATAGAATAGAATGAGTCGATGCTTTGTACGAGATACGTATGCGGAATTAATAATGAATCGATTAATTGGTATTACAGCAATACATATGTAAAAAAGAAAAAAAAAACAATTGTTGAAACGGTCGCAATTATAGTTTAAAGTATATATATATATATTTATCTCGCAATACTTTTAGAACACTCATTTTACGACAAAAATTTGTATATAATTTGTAAGAAAAAAATCGACATGCTCTTGCAAATTTCATGGCAATATGTAGTAAATTATTCGTAATATTAACTGTCATAATAATTATCATTGTTATTAATGTCATGTATGGCTCAGGCACTTCAATTCAATTCGATCTCTCGAATCAACATAACTTGCATAATTAAAAAAAGGACACCAGGTTTCGAGAGAACTTCAATATTATTTTTTTTATAATATCGACGAACATAGATATGTTTAGAATTATTTAAAGGAATCATAAAGGAAGTATTCGAAAAAAAGATGCGAGCAGTTGCAATTCGAAAATCGAATTGGACAGTATCCAGATACTATGTATGTATATGTATGTCTTTTATTCTACTGTAATTCTATCAGAATTGACCGAAGTATTCAAAAATAGTCGAACATGGAAATCCAAATTCATCATACCCTGTACTCGCTCAGCTTTTTAAGTTAGTAAAAAATATATTTGAAGCGATCGGAGTGAATTTATTACCAATATGTGTGTGTTAACCTTCTACTTATTAAGTTTCTTTTGTTATTATATCAACAATTCAATAAATAAGAGAATAGACGACGGGAACAGATGAAGTAAGTTCGTCGATTTGTTCAATCATATTTATTGAGTGATTACTTACCTCATAATTGCGAGGATTCTTTCTTTAATTTTTCAGGCGATTTTAAATTATACAAAAATTGGCGGGAGATTGTAACTATAGTTGTTGCTGATCCGCCATTTGTATCGATGAAAAAAGGTAAAGAATCGATATGTCGGTATAGAGAATATTTTCTTCTTTATCGACGGCAAGTTTTGAAGAAAGTCATTTATCGATTAATTTTATTAATAATAATTTTTTGATTCTCCCACAAAACAAATATGGGGGATTATTAAAACATATAAATGTATCATACGTCGTGGCTAATTAATAAGGTACAAATAATTATTCTTTTACAAACAAGACAAACGTATAATGCAGAACAGTAGAATAGTTTATACTTTAAGTAATCATTAGTTAGAAACCAGACAAGTCATTATTGATTGTAGTAGATGCAAATGTTCAAAGAAGTATTGTCTATACCTGCAACGTTCCCTTCATATTTCCTGCCGATTATTGACCTTGAGCTTGACCTTGCGTGTGTCCTCGACATAAGAAGAGTAGTACGAAGATAATCGTGTCGAACGAGCCCTGACCTAACCTATTCTAGGCTATGTCTCCGTTCTTTATATACAGACAAAGCCTAGGAGAGGCTAAATCAAGTTACTCTGTCCCGTAGAAACGAACATCACATCCTCATCTCGTAAGTATTTTGCTACGCGAATTTTCCTTATGTACTTTTTCGTGTTATGTCATATTTGAAATAAATTCTTTTATGAAAATAACCTCTCAGGTATATTTTCCTTTTTTAGATTTGATCACTTTGTTTTTAAATTCAATTATACCAATTTATTATTTCGTTTTCCACGCGATTGGCTATAAAGGAAAAGTCAATCTTGTTGGCATACGCAGATTTTTCGAGGGACCTCTTTTTACAACAGTGCCCCGGACGGCACAAAGAAAGCGTGTCATGCCTAAAAATACGCGAGGCACGCAGGTAGATGTGAAGAGGTCGTAGGGACTGGGAGGGAATAAAAAAAAAGGCAAAGGAATTGCACAAGAGCAGCGATTTGGTATTCAAATCGTTAGGCATGTTCCCGCCTCTCTCGCAACACAGGTCCTCCTCCCGTAGCAATAATACGAAGGCCTCCTTCGTTTAAATGTTTTCACTTCTTGTTCTTCTTCTACCTCCACGTTCTCTATCCTTTGCCCCTCCCTCCTGTCTCTTAACGTTCTCTTCTCCAGCCGTCTCTTAACGTTCAATCTCTTTTCCCCTTGTCGCACTTTTTACTCAATCACCTTGCATTAATCTGCATAGAATTATCGGTTCATTTTATGTAATTTTTTTATAATGCAACAAATAAACCAAGGTCATTATTCTTCGGTTGTCCAAGTTGTTAATTGGTACGGAGAACAAGAAAAAGAGAGGCAACAATATCGAATCTATCGGAGCACTTTCAGCAATGCTTTTGTACGACTTCAACATTCGCAGGAAGAATTCGATCAACTGATCAATTCGCACTGATATCGAATTACTCGTTCACTTTCAGAGAGAAATGTCCTCGAGAAACTTCAATGCGAGAACCAAGCAGAGGCGTGGAGACTTCAACGACCGCACGTGCAATGTCCGACTAGCGCGGTTACACGAAGTCGGGACCATCGAGGGAGGCTGGTTATTTCGTATTTCCGAATGTTTCACTTTCTCCTGTGGCATCCGCGCGCTATGAAATGAAGCTGTTCCACATCACCGTCTCTGAGAAATAAATGAAACACCGTCTATGTCGACGTTTCGTCACGGCTACGACCTGCACAGTCGCTCAACCGGATCCTGAACGTTCACCAGAAGAAAAGCTTTCTTATTTATCTGGAACTGGAGTTCTTTGTATCGTTTCACACCGTATAAACTCGTAAATATTAAACGCGTCGACTGCACTGCACTCGTGGCAAAGCTGTTGCGCACTCTCAGTGTCCACGCAAAGTCGTCAATGGAACGGAATTGGTAATAATTTCCCACTTGGGTGGACATCACGCTGATTAATATTCGCAAATGTATTTTATTCGTTGTAGGATCTTTCCGACGATCCTGGCTTTTCCCGCGTGTCATCGCACATTGCACTGGTACTAGCCGCGTCACAGACAGTCACGCGAAACGGAAAGAAAGACAGTCATCGGTATGCTGACCGAAAGAAGTCTGCCAATAAGTCGGAAAAGACAGTGAAAACTCACGTGTCTCTCGAAAGGTAAAGTGCAAGGAAGCGGCTAACGAAAACGGTGATTGGTATACGTGGCACCGGATTGGCCGGTGCGGTGGCATACCTTGACGACACGCACAGTGTGTGCGCACATCGGCAACCTGTGCACCCACTAACCACTAACCGCCGAACCACGGGAGGCCAAGGTGTGCGCGCGCCAGGATAATATATGTATCTACGTGCGTTAACCACGTGAGAGCGGCCAGCATCTTTCCACAGGGCCTCTCTGGTGGGGACTTAACCTATGGACTGCTCTTTGTCTCCGTCTTTCTCTCGCATAAACCTTGAATCCTCGGGAAATCGCTGGAACTTTAATATATCAGTGAATTTCAATGCAACCGCTGCGCTGCGCCAGTTACATGATTTTCTTCTGTTCGATAAATTTTTTTAATCGATCAACGTTCGATGTTTTGCTGCAAGAAAAGTTAAAAAGGTTTTTCTTCGTTTCTTAACTATTTCTCTATCTGCATATTTCTTTTTTTTTTTTTTTTTTTTTAGAATTACATTGTCCGGAGAGGAACAATGCGCTAACGGAAATAAGGGACAACGGTGTCCACAAATTATAGGCCTTGTTTCAATCTGTTCGATCTATAAACGGAGATTTCGTAGCAAGACCCAACCGTGACGATGTCGTAGACATACATATTTGTTTCGGCATAGTAAGTTTCCTCGCGCAGTTAGCATCGCTTTTTATCTTCATCATTGCACTGTCATTTACTTGGCATGGTAGTTAGCGTCGGTGTCTTGTTTGCCAAGGTAGGCGCTTACTTTTTTATTCGCCACCCCGTAGACGGCGAGTTCTCACTCAACATTCCCGGCAATCTCTGATCGACGAGTTTTTATGAAGGTCGTACGAACTACGTGAGCCTACCCACTTACCCAGCTGCATCGCTAATGTACATGTTTATGCTATTTGTGGCCGTTTCAGATGCGCGAAAAATGCATGCACATTATGCGCAAGTTATATGTAACATAAAACAACAATAACTTAAAGGCGTTAATGATTTTATCAATTTCTTACGGTATCGATGCGCCGTGTGTTCGCAATTTTCGTCTAGGGTATTCAGAGAATAGATTTTAAAGCTGCGAAGGAAATCGAAATTTCACGCAAAATAGAGATAAACAGAAAATTAGACAAGACATAGCTCGTGCGACCCTCTCTTAATAATTGTCAGTGATCCATAAGTTCTTTTAGGACTACAGAAATCTTTAAATGAGTTCTCCATACAGGAATTCTGTGAATTCTTCGTAAAACATCAATTTCCATAACAATTGCACGAGACATTGATTAATCCATAGAACAAGATCAATTGGATGGTCATATTTCTTCCGAAACATAGAAACTGTTTTATCCTCTTGCATATAGTACCAGCCTGCAGTCATCGTGAGACTTTATTTCGCAATTGGTGTTCAGTATTCCGAATTCTCATTTGCAACTTGGAAGATTAAGATGGCGGCGGACTACGGTAATTTATTAACTAGTCCGGCAAGTCAAACCTGTTGGTTCCCTGCCGATATGTTTTGCTTCTTGTGTCTGAACGCGAAGTACTGGTGTCCTTTGATATGTTTCTACAGAAAATTGTCTCTTAATTCCTTATTTTCTATTTTCCTTCGTTTACATCAACGCTCAAGTTACCGTTGATCATTAATTTTACAAAAATATCACCTAAAAGATATCAATTTTATTACAGGATATTCATACGAGATGTCCCATGATTCGAATCTTCGCCCAATTTAAGCCTGGCTGAGAGTGCCAGGATTTTTCTATTGTACGATACACAGCGTAATCGTCACATTTTTACTAATCTTTATTTCTTCAATTTTAAAATAATAATTTTCACATTCTTTTCTATTCGCTGTAGATTAACGATATTATATTCCAGAGATTACCAATCAAGAAACTCGCAGGAAACATGATACCAACCGTGTGGAATAATACCAATATCCATCTGTACATCTTTACATAGAAGTATGATTAAAAGGAAGATCTTAACGTCAAAAGTTGGAAGCAGGTTGTAAAATGTGCTGCAGCGCATATGGTTTTTCTTAAGTGATTGTTATTCGACTCGCGTCCCCTCGCGATACATGTCTTCTAATATTGCAAAGACTACACGATATAATTTCCAGACGTTTATTTGGATTCCATGGATTCTTCCGTTGTGCTCTCGGCTCTTAACGGTTCGATATTATGCCGGTACTGTGATTCGCAATGGCGATCAGCCAGTGGGTAGGAAATTCTCCAGCAGTGACGTAAAAAGGTAGTGCCCGGGGGCATTTCTTTAACACGGCGCCACCCATATAAAGCCCTCCTTTTGTGATCGTACGAATCAAAACAGGCTGTCTTATCTTTCAATTCCTACATTTTTGTCCGTTTGATTTATTATCGCGTACTATTCTTTCATACCTCTTTAGTTTAATACCTAGAGATATTAATCTAGTAACAGCATCGACGCTTAATCGATGTATGTCTGAAAGTCTGCTGTGTATGCAGATGACCCTGACATTTATGCTGATGCATTTCACTTGTGTCGTGTGTATGCTGAACATTAACTGTTGCTCACATCGACGTAGTCAGCTTGCTTGACTCGCATGGCTTCTAAATGAGTTTGTCTCTTGTATAATATTGCTTGCTTAATTTCAATACGATCCACAAATGCAACGTTTTTATTCTCTTCGTCACGTTACATATCGTATACGATACAAGTAATCACGACACAAGCGAAGAGGAAGCGATATGATTTAAAAATAGTGTTTCGTATTTGATAAGGACGCTATAGGAATCGAACGATTCCCTTTGTTGCTGATGTATTCGTGTTTGCGTATCTCTATCAGTGTATTGACATTACCGCGACGAAAACGAACAAGAAAACCTGTTTAACGTACAAATATTGAGCAGCTACTAGATTCCTCTTACGCTTCGTGTAACAGTCGTGACAGTAACGCGAAAAGGCATGAATATTAATCGAGAAATTTGCCGAATGCCTGAACCTCGTTTCACGACAACTTATATATATATATATATATCATGCTGTAATTATCGCAATTTATTCTCGACTCGAGACGAGCCAAGTATACGGATGTTTTAATTTCCATTGATGTTCTTCTCAACATCAGAAAATGTCCTGTCAAATCGAATTCCATTCGGTGTGCAGAATTTTCTAATAATTCCTTCTTCGACTCGAATAGGAAATAAACTTTTTGTTGTATTGGTTATAGTAAAATGTATTTCAAAACTATACCTAAGGCATAATCTTCCGTCGGAAGATAAGATTATACGACTAAAAATAAATTGTACACGCGAAGCATATAGTACCAAAAATTCTGCGATAGCCTACGGTACCAAGATTTTATTAAGATTGGCGCCTTAAGGAATGCAAGTTTAACGGATCATCGTCGACCAGCCTTCTGCTTCTTCTTCTTCGTCTTTGCCGTTTCCTTTCTCCTCGACAAGATCCTCTTCGATCCATTTGCTCGCACTTGCGTGTTGATACACACCGATGCAAACTCTTTTACATATCGGGCAAAAAAATCACCATTTTAACAAATGAAATGCAATTACTATTGCTAGAAGGTGGTCGTGTTGTGAACAACTTATTGGTTGAAAGATTGGTTTGAAATTTGCATTTATTGCTATTGTTATTCGATACTTGTGTATAGCGTTACTATTGGTAAAAACATAAATAGGATAAAATAATATGACACGATAAAATGGCAAAACAATTCAATAAAAAGTTAGCGATAGATTTTGGCGATAATTTATTTTGTAAGTTCATAAGTAAGTTCATATAAGTAATAATAAGTTCAGACTAATAGAGCGCATCGGTACTTGCAGATTGTAGAACTTCCTGGCCATTGATTGTATTATAATACTGAGACTTTCGAATATCGTACATGAAGTGTGAAGATGTTCAAGCTTGAAGGACGTTTACCAACAAGGACATTTACTCTTTTGAATCTTTCATGGTGATTTAAAATGGCGAGAAACGCATATAGACATTTACATGGATAGGTATCTCCAATTATTCGACATTACTATGTAAATTCTAACTTCTTCTGTTATTGTTCCGCTTTTCTGCTTTTTGTTCGTATTTAATGCAATGCTTAATTTTCAGAGAATTAAGCGTTTCATCGGTAGAAATGAATTTGGAGATTTTCAATATTAATATTAGAAAATCCTTTCGTTATTTGTATCAAGTAGATTTATTCAGGAATTTCTAGTAAAGTTGATCGCAGCTCGCAGCTCTTGCGAGTTCATAAACGTGGGCGTGAACTTTTCAATAAAGCCAGTCTCGTTCGGATACTTGAACGCGTGTATCGGGATCAATGACACGCCCGCAGATTCCCTGAGGTATCCTCTACGAGCTACGTAGAGGCATCCTGTAGAATTCCAACCACCTTCCTCGACTTCACAGCAGGACCTACTGGTTTCTATTTATATACCGCGCGAGACCTTGCAGCTTACAGCTTGCGCGCTTACGGACTCGGTTCCCGACCTGTGCAAACCGCTATCGCGACTCTATACTATCCTCGTATTAAACGATTATTTGCGTTTTTATATTCATGTAATGTATCTTGTTAATCGATTCGAATTTATATTAATTAACAAGATACATTATTATTCATACACTTGTACATGTACTTGCTGGACAATATCGACATGTTGAATGTTCAATTTATAATGAGAATAAAATTCCTTGTAAGATGCTACTAATATCGATATTTATACCAGTACTAGTCTCTTCTTTTCTAAGTTTTCGATATTCTTCGTACGAACAACTAGCGAACAACACGGAGAAGTTATGTAGTATATACTTTTAAGGAATTCTAGTAGAAGATGGAAGTACGTAGCCAGACAAAATATGACAAATAAATTGTGATAATGTATACAGTACTACAATAATTGATAGAGTGCAGCAATAATAATTTATTTTCTTATCTGGTATTTAATTTATGATGTTTCTTGGAATTACTCATTATTAACGAAAAAATGAGAAAAAAATAAATATTAAGTTTTTATTTATACTGTGTCAGTATTCATTTTAGATTTTTTTTTTTATAAGGATAAGGTGAAAGTATAAAGCAGCATATTATAACTAACTATGTTTACATTTTACAAGGAATAAATTTTCAAAATTTGGAATTTGATAATTACAATGATGCCATCTATCGTATGAATTGTTTACTATCGTGTGTATATATATCGAATTGTTAACTGTCTTACCCAAATACTAACATACCGTGTCTTTAAAAAGATATTTTGCAAGGAATAACGAGAAATATGGGTGATAGAATAGCAGAAATCTTTAATTCTTTTCAGACTTACTTAGTCAACGAAGAAGTATTGCGTGAAGTATATCCTAATAATATTTTACTAATATTGAAATTATGTGACAAGATAACGTAAATGCTAAATAATTGTACTACTACTTTAAACAAATTTTATTCCTATTGATTAATTCATAGTTATAAACAAAATGGATTATTTCTTTTTAAATACATGTTTATCATGTTCATTCTTATGTTCATTCTGTACATGTTTTAGGTTACGATCATTAACCCCTTTTTTGTTGTTTACCATTTAAAATTTTTTGAAATAACGAATTTTAAAATTAATTAAGGACACACTATGTATAAAAAATGATTAAAATTTTTTTCATGCTAAAGGAAATCCGTGCTATTGTAAGAGAACTTGAAAAGAACTCCAGGGACATTTTGATGATATTGCAAAACATACATAATGAAGATAACTTTAAAGAAAACTCAAGTATGTGTGTTTAATGAATCACGAAATTATCAAAGTAGTTATTATTTTTTTATTTGCAGTTATACATGAATATTGTACAAAATCAAGAGCATTGTTTGAAGATGTACGTAAGAACTATACAAGACTTGCAGATGTTGTGCCAAAAAACCAGTATTACAAATATCATGATCAATGGCGTTTTGTCACGCAAAAATTATGTTTCTTAGCATCTTTAATAATATATTTAGAAATTAAAGTTCTACTTAGCAAAGACACTGCTGCAGAAATGTTAGGAGGTATGTAATTGTTTAAAGAAATTTCTTTCATTTATTTGTATCTAATATATTTCGATACTGTACATGTAGTTAATAATGATAGAGAGGATGGTTTCCATTTGGACTTAGAAGACTACCTAATGGGACTATTACAATTGTCTGCAGAATTGGTAAGTATATTGTATAACACATCTGTTGCAATTACTTATTTGAATATTATATTTCAGAGTCGTTTTGCTATAAATAGTGTCACTAATGGTGATTATAATCGACCTATAGAAATAGCACGATTTATAAATGATCTAAGTGCAGGCTTTAGACTCTTAAATTTGAAAAATGATTCTCTAAGAAAACGTTTTGATGGCTTAAAATATGCGGCTAAAAAGGTAGAAGAAGTGGTTTATGATCTCAGTATACGAGGTTTGAAACCAAATTCAGCTACTGAAGATACAAAGTAATTATTTCTAAAAAATATTTTCTGTAAGTAACATACTGTCATACATAATAAATTATTGGATCAGCTATTTTTTTATTTATAAATTATAATAACTATCTACATTTATGTTAATTTTGTACTGAATCAAAATATATAAAAATTTAATACAAAATTCTATGTATAGTTAAATACTTAAGTTATTAATTCAAGTACTTAATAACCATCTTGTAAATTTGTTATATTTTGCAATTTTGCACTTTTAATATATCTTTGATAATTTTAAACAAAATATTTTGTTACATCTTTAGCACGATTTACACCTGAGATATGTGGTGTAATGATAACCTGCATAAAAATATTTCCTATTTTCTAATATATTAGTAAAAGAAAATTGGATTTAGTTTTAATTAATGTATGTATGTATGTAGTTACTTGTGTTAATGTTCACAATTTACTTTCTTTTGGCAATGGTTCTTCTGTAAAAACATCTAAAATAGTTCTTGAAATCCATTGTTTCTCAAGTGCGTTTAATAAATCTATCGCTTTAATTATTTTACCTCAACCTATATTGATAAGAACATTGCCATGATTTTTACAATTCTGTAATATATTTCTGTTTAACAAACCTAAAATACTAGATGTAGATGGTAAAACATTAATAATATAATCACAATTTGTGAGCATTTCAGACAAATGTGCAATTGTTCTATGTTCATCAAGATAATTTAAGTTCTCTTTAAGCGGTGTTCTCGTCACTTCCCATATGGTGGCTCCAAACATTTTTAATTTTTTTGCAACTTCAAAAATTAAAAATATTTTTATATAAAGTTAACTAGTATTTATACCACTAATAACAAAAAACACTTCGTAATATAATTACTTGTCTTCCCAATATTTCCTAAACGTAGAATACTCCAAACAAATCACAAATAAGTCTGTGATCAGAAATTTTCCCATCTGTTATCCACCCTTTATCTTTTTGATTTTGATATTGCTGTCTCTGATCACATTCAAAAATAAAAATATGTGCAATTACATACTCAGACATAGCTGAAGCTAGACTTTTGTCTGAGAAATTGCAACTGCATAATTTTTATCTTTTTATCTCAGATTTGAAGCTAGTGATTTGATACCAGCCCATGTTGTTTGTGTCCATTTTATAGATGGTAACTTATCTGTATATGGTAAAAGCAAATTACAATCAGCTACAACTGTATCTGCACTTTGTAATTTTGACAGTGTATCAAATTTATCTGAAAGAAAAAAAAGACGAGTTTGTAAGTCTATGAAGAGACATGTTCATATTGTATAATTAATGTTTCTAAGAATAAAAACACGGGAAAATGTTATCTTTAAGTCTTCTGCAATAAAAGATTAAGAAATTATTACGCGTAAGTTGTAAGATATATTAGAAAAATGCATTGAAAATTTAAATTGGGTGGATTTTCCGCCAATATCTGAAACCCAAATGCGCAAATACAGTACTCAGCATGTCGTAGTAGTAGTGCGTTTTAACACGTGCTTGCTGCGAAAAGGTCTCTTGAGCTGAAAAATTACGAGCTCTACGGGTATGAAAGAAAGTGTATGTCAAAAGTAATACCTGGCAAAATATCAAATATTGTTAAGTTTGGAAGTTGAACTCAAAGATGGTAAGATAACCTAGGAATCACAGAAAGAATTGCAATACTCTGCGTCATGTCGATACGCGGGAATATGATTTAACTTCAACCAAAGATTCCTTCAATTAAATAAAATATTCTACGATCAACCATCGCTATAACTGATTTCAAATTAATGGAATTAATATCTAACTTTAGATTTGTTGCTTCGACATGTTGCACCAATACATCTAACCTAAGTTTCCATTCAAACGAAAGATATTAACACTTATACTTTTTTATTTACATTTTCCATTTTATTTTTACTTTATTAGTCTCCACAATATAATAGTAATATTATTGTTAAAATTTTTCGAACTCGATTTTCCGTTTACATTACATGAGGAAATTACAATAGCGAAAATATCTTTTTGTGTTACTAAAAGTTGGAATGTATTAGAAAGATATCTATCTTATCTAAGTTAAATTAAAATGTGCTTCATTTTAATATCGAAATTGTAAATAAAAAGAATAAACAATATCATCTAATAATATCAACTAATTTCCAATTCTTGCACTCCGTGAAAGATTTAAAATTTAAAATATCCTCGCATACGCGACGCGTGCGCAAATTAAAGTCACTTAAAATACAAAACATAAATGTATGTAAATACTATCATGATATCAGAAAGTATAATTAAGTCTTATCACCATTAATTTTTCTAAGTTACTATCAAATATATAAATGTAAATCTTGCAATTAATTCCATTTTTTTTTAATCTATGTTTTCATAACGCGATGAAAAAATGTCAACCTTAGTACTGTTAAAAAATACACATATAAAATTTTTTGCTGTAAACCTGTAACCGAATATTTATTCATGTTTACTTTTTAACGATACCATATAATTAAAAAGTCTTTGATTTGTTTTTATGAAATATAGAGTGATAGGTTAAGAAAGCCTTAAAAATTTCGGCGCCACCAGACAATTATAAGTCGCATAAACGAGATATACATTTCTGGAAACTATTAAAATGTATGTGTAGCATTTAATTCGGATATTATTATAGACTGACAAATATTTTGAAAGATATTTGATTCGATAGAGTTTTGAACACTCTGGTAAATCGAAGGGAGTGTGAACGAGGCTTATAACAAAGGGAAACGCGAAGCATCCAATAGACGCTCGTGAGTCGACCGGTGGCGGTAGCAAGCCGATTCCCGCGCGGCGCACGTCGCATCGCGGAACTGCTCGAGCTGAACGTGTTAAATGGCTGTGCGTCGGCCATGATGGCTTTGAGCAGGGACCGTGTCACGCAAACATGTTTTCGAAGTGATATATCTCGTTTGGTGACTGAGTGACCGTGTTCCAGCGCGATGGCCGGAGAACGATGAGGCCCTGAGCGCTCTCTGTGCCGGGTATTACGGCCGCAGGGCCCCTAACCAGGCCCAGTCAGGTTCACGTTCCTTAAGTCCGAGGCCCGAGCCGACCCGACTGGTCTCACGGTTCGACACCAGCCACCTCGGTTGTCAACACGCGAGCCAGCCGCCTCAGGATGAGCAAGCTGTCGTTCAGGGCCCGTGCCCTGGACGCTTCCAAGCCCATGCCGATTTATATGGCTGAGGAACTACCGGATCTGCCAGATTACTCGGCCATTAATCGTGCTGTGCCCCAAATGCCCAGCGGCATGGAAAAGGAGGAGGAATGTGTAAGTCGAACGTTCAACCTTCTTCCAGCATGTTTTCCCTGTCCGCCATCTTACTCTCATCTACATCTTCGTAAACAACCGATAGATGGCACCCTTCTTTATCATTATTATGTCTAGAAATTCCTTATTTTTATTGTTAAACGTAATTGATAAAAATATTTTATATGTTATTGTTGTACCTCATACTTCTGTACACCTTCTTACGTCACTATTGACAGTTGTCAGCTTTGTATACTGAAGTAACGATGGAATCAAAATAGATGGTTTAACGTTGCTGTTCAACGTACAAGAATTTTTTAGTTTTCAGTTTTTCTAATTATTACATTCTTTTTATAGCATATTATGTTTAGTAATATAATTTTTGTATGATGATTGTTTCTTTCTGTTCCCGAATATGTAAACAATAAGCATTTAATAGTATGTTGTCATTATATACAATAATGGTATCTTATTGAAACAACGCTAATAATGTGTATCTACTGATATGTTGTGTAGTATGATCTTCATGTTATTTAGCTGTCTCTGCTTATACTTTATGTATTTTAAATATGTCATTTCCATTATTTTCTGCTTTATTCTTATTTTATCAATATATTCAATGTATTTGATTGACCTTCATTAAAATATATGTTTAAATGCTATTTTACAAATATATATAACATATTATTAAATGTCATTGTACATTATAGATTTGTGCATAATATTTAAGTTTTCTTATTCCTCCTTATAGTAGCATATGAAAAAGCAAAAGTTTAAATAATTTTATATTTTATCAAATTTCATATTATTTATTGTACTAACTGTTTGTGTAGGAACATCACTTGCAAAGAGCAATATGCACAGGTCTGATCATTCCTACTCCTGAGGTAACTGATTTAACAGATGTGGAAGCTTATGATAAAATATACCCAGCTGACTATAGGCTACCTCGTCAACTTATACACATGCAACGTAAGAGAATATGATAAACAATTTTTAATATTTAATGATCAATATTATTGTATATATAACAGATTTAATAATTGTATGCATTTTTTCTGAAGCTTTCGCAATGGAACAAGATATTCCAGACTATGATATGGACTCAGAAGATGAAAAATGGGTTGCAGTACAAAGTCGTAAGATGGACTTAACTCCTCTTCAATTTGAAGAAATGATGGATCGTTTAGAGAAAAGTTCAGGACAAACTGTAGTCACTCTTAACGAAGCTAAAGCACTTCTGAAAGAGGATGATGATTTAATTGTTGCTGTGTTTGATTACTGGCTGAATAAGCGTCTTAAAACAGTAAGCTTTTACATTTTATATATCTAATGGTTAATAATTACTGATAAAATTTTATTAACATCGTTGTGCCCTTTCTCTGTCTCAGCAACATCCTCTTCTATTAACGGTTAAAACAGAACATCGGTTTGGTTCAGCTGCCAATAATCCTTATTTAGCGTTTAGACGTAGAACGGAAAAAATGCAAACGCGTAAACATCGTAAAAACGACGAAACTAGTTATGAAAAAATGCTGAAGCTCCGTAGGGATCTTAGTAGAGCAGTTACCCTTTTAGAAATGGTTAAAAGAAGAGAGAAAACCAAACGAGAACATTTACATCTTACAATTGAAGTATATGAAAAAAGGTATGGACACGATTTTCCAATTTCTTTATATTTCCCTCCCTATAGAATTAGATTTCGAATATTATATAATTAATGAACTTTACAGATATCAGGCACAAGACTTTAATGGACAAATATTGGCAGAAGTATCAGCGTTGAAGACACCAAGACCTGCTTTTGCTCCA